AACTGTGGATGCCCCGAGCTGGCCGATGACAGCCCTAGCAGAGCCCGAGACAGGGACAGAATCAGAGACAAGACACAGAGACGGAGATGGATATGGAGAAGCCAGCCGAGGCAGTTGGGTAGAGACCAGCTTGCTGAAAATAGCTTCTCTCTCTCCTACGAGTCATCGTCACGGAGCCGAAGAAGACGGGATCGGAACTGAGACTGAGATTGCGGCGTGCATGCTGTCAGCCGCGAGTGGGCCTGCGTCTACTTGGTTGGATGTGTGTACTGTTTTGTGTGGTTTTGGCGCCGTGTGCGGGAAGTGTCGTCGTGTCGTCGCATCTACTGTAAGCCGTCGTCGGGTTTTCCCTGGATGATGGCTGAGGCTGCTGAATCAAAGGATGCGCTCTGATTGGCCAAAATGGCGGCTCCCCACGCACGCCCCCCGATGACGACACTAGTTGCCCAAACAGACGGCCCGATGACGTAGGCGGAGAAGAGCAGGAGCAGGAGCAGGAACAGGGGTCCCGGGAAGGCAAGAGGCACAGAGAGGCAGGTGTGCAGCAGCAGCTAGCAGTTACTGCACACGCTGCAGTAGCAGCAACAGGTGTTAGGGTGTGTGTGTGAGTGGTAGCGCCCAATGGGGAGTGCTCCACTGCCTGCAGACCGCATCCACACACACCCTGCCACTTTCATGCATCCACATCCACCAAAATCCACCACATCCTTCCTCATCCATACAGCCCTCTCTCCTCTTTCCGCATCGCCAAGGCCCGATGACTGGAGGAGGTAAGGAGGAAGCCGTCAGGGCGTGGGGCAGCTAGGAAAAGCTAAATGAAAATAAGATGGCAAATCGTTGCGCGATGCGGCAACGCCCCAATCCGAAACAAGAAGTGCCATTGCAGCCACAGTTGGGAGATCGTCAGGGTCCTCCTGCTCGTCCTGGCACATGCCGTCTCAAGGTGCAGTAGCAGCAATCATCTACACGTATACACCTTCAATCCGTGTCGATACAGTCAAGTCTGAATGTACGTCCCGCTTGTCGCGGAGTCGGGCTCCTTGTCCTGTCCTTTCTGCCGCCGTCCTGCCTTATCCACATCGTCTTCTCCATCCAAGTGCATATGTGCATCTGTGCATCTGCGAACTTAGCTTGAACTGCCAGAATCGTCACCAAACCCCACACTTGATTGATGCACATGTGTACATAGAAAACAGCCTTGCCTCTCCTCTTCCTTCCACCACGCAGCAATAGTGAATATACCCAGCTCACCTCAAATTGAAGGATCCAGAGAGGGCCCAGCAGCAAAATTGCTTCTCAATGCAAGATGCTGGCTCGTGGCCATATTAAATGCGGAGGGCAGCAAAGGGTGCGTTATTAAACCCCGATATGGGACTCCACCCAGCATACTCACCGAGCCCACCGCGATTAAAATTGACGCAGTTGTCATCAATTCTGCCAGCCAGCCAGCGAGCTATTCCAAGCGCACACCTCGTAAAATCCCACATGACATCGTCGCAAGACTTTCGACTCTGCCGTTGGCTGCTGGCGGCGGATGATGATGCCGCCCTCTTCTCCTCTTACACTCGTGTCCCATGTCGCTGCCGCTGCTGCTGCGGTGGGTGTGTGTCGTTGAAATAACCCTTGATGCACAATGACGCAGTTGGCGCTGTGGCCGTGCCCCACCCTCAAAAGACCCCTGCACAAGCGCCCCGCTTTTCCCGTCGCTTAATCCAGACCCCTACCGCTGGATGCTCTCGTACCTGTACATCTCATTTTGTTCAATGGAGACCCTGAGGATGGAGCCCCTTTCCCTACCTACCCCCCTTAGCGTCAATTACGCGTAAACCTGGCTGAGATCTGAAATCTGCCCCCGTCTGTGTGAGGTGAGTGATTGAGTGAGAGAGTGTCGTCGTCCCGCCCTCAATTAGACGCCCAACACGGAGAATTTCGACCACAACATCCACTCCAATTACATCTCCTCGAATCTCTAGTGTCTAGTGATTTTCATGTATCTCGTTTCGTGATCACGTCTCATCTTGATTTGGACCATCGTACATACACGGATGATTCCAGCTCAAGCTCCAGATCCAGGGTTGTAAAATCTCCCACTGGAGGAAATTCCATGGGTCAGCAACTTTTTTTTTTTTTGTATGGGCCCTTGAACAGACTAAATCCAGGGTCCAAGCAACAGCCAACTCCAAGCAACCCTTGGTGTCATTCTCTTATTCCTTTCCCTAGCGTCGCCGTCTCCCCTCCCAAGATGAAACGAACTGTTTGCGTCCTAGTTCCGCTCGTATGCGGATTTTCACTAACCCACATCGACTTTCCCCGAAAATCCCATCCCCCAGATGGGTGCTCTTGGAAATCTGCACACCCATGCATGCTGTGACAAGAGAGTCGCAACAAGGATTGCGCTTCTCATACGACTGTACACTCTTCATCATTCATTCCTTCATTTGCACAGTATACAGCGTCTTCTATCTACACCCTTCCCTGGCTTCGCCTCAATGAAACAAAGCCTACCTTTCCTCTTGCAGGCTCACTAAGTCATTTATCCAATCTTCCCCTCTCCTCAAACCCAACAGCGACCAGGAACCAAAAACATCCTTCCTGCTTGCCCTTATACGTCAACAGTCCGATTGGCAGGGCTATTCTGTCTCTCCGCCAGCCAATTCACCCGCCCCGTCTCACATCCTCGAGACCCCCCACCCTGTCCCCCTCCCCTGGGCCCCCTCTGCGGCTGCAGCTCGCTGCGCATTACACAATGCGTTACAGCAGCCGTAATCCGCCTCCCGCCCTCCTCCCACTGACCCTGCCCCCTGCCCCAGTTCCCTTCCTCGCAAGGTACGACAAGGCACACCGCTAGTCGAGCGTGCAGGCGGGATTTGGAAAAGAGCCCTGCGATGTGACTGACACCTGCACGGGCAGGCTATGTCCTGCACGCCCTCCCTCACCTTGCCCATCGCAACCCACCCGCCACTCCAGGAATAACAAATTCCCCAGATGAGTGATATTGAACAAGGCCCTTAACTAGACAGTTGAGGCGGGCGCGGCAAAATCGCATTACACCAACGCCGGCGCCGCTGTCGTGCCCTTGGCGCCGGGCGTCAGCTAGCTCTTCCGTGCCTGACCCCCCCTGCCCGGTGATTTTGCTCCCCGGGTCTAACTGCTAGGTCCATCGGCGCAATCCTACCCCAGACTGTACACACTATAGTATTTCTCAAATCTGTTTTTCGCCACTTCTTAGGTAAGGAAAGTGAGGTAAAGCATGGGAGGCGCTAGGCTAGGGCACATTCGCTATAGCGTTTGGCTGTTTCCGTCTTGAGACGATGATGAGGATGGGACGGGGATTACTTCAGATGGCGCCTTGTGTAACGTTGCTGTTTGAGCACAAAGAAAGTTTAGTCTCAGGCCAGGGTCAGTGAAGGGGTGTCCACGTGATTTGAAGGGGGCCGGAAAACTTCTCGGTCGAGTGTTGAACTTGCGCCTGTTCATCGCCGGCCAGTTTGGTGGTGGATGTCGTCCATATGACGGGTCCCGGCGCTTTGCGTCGAAGATCTCAATGAAAGATAGAAAGTTATTGAATGCAGACGTGCTAGGGGGAATTGGCTGTTGAATGGTCAAATATTGTTATGTTGTACACCACGAGTGCTTGTAGAAGCCCACAGACGTGCCGCCGAATGCAGATCGATCAGCTTGAGCTGTCCTAACCAAGGAAGATGGGGACACATTTGACGTGTCTTCTGCGTGCATTCTGTCATGTGTGTTCTTATTCATCATCGACAAGTATGCGCGCCTCATCATTATCGCCGTCTTCCGTTGAACTGTTCCATCCGTGAAATCTCGCCACCTGTCAGACGGGAGATCGTCAGGACCCTTTGACTTGTGCGTGCCTGACAAGGCCACGCCAAAGTCCAAAACAGACACGCTTGTTCAAATTGGAGGGCGTAGGGCATATAACGATAGCCGCTGTCAGAAATCTTTTTTCGCGGCAGATCAACACTGCCAACACAGGTCGTCGGGTTTTAGACTCGAGACGAACTCTGAGCACTTGAGCTTTCGCGTGATGATCACTCGCCACCTGCAGGGCTGCCAGCTAAAGAGGGATCGGCAAACTCTGCGTGATTGCGCTCATATCTACTGCACTGCTTCGGTGTTTTCGTAATTTACGCGGGATGTGCTGATTGATGTGTCCTACACTCCTGCAGCCTCATGTTGGCTTTTCGAGATTCACGCACCAGCTTAGGCTGGAGCCGCTCAAATTTCTGCTGCGCAATGTTTACTCAATTGAGAGCCAGTTTGCAATTGGCACTACGCCTCTAGAAAATCTCTGAGCGCCTCCAAGCCCGAGCGTCGAGTCCACGCACGATGGCCGTCGGTAAGGCCGCGCGTCACCTGACGAAGAGCCACGCCTCTCCTCTCATTGTGCACGAACTCTAATGGACGGAAGATGCACCCAGTCGGCTCGTGGTCTCGGCATACAGCTCGTATGGTCACATTTCGATGTGAGCCAGGCGGACGGATTTGTTAGAGTGATGCCTTCTCGATTTTCCTTCACTTTGAGGTACTGCCTGGACGTCGTATGAACCTAGATTACATGCGCTGACAATATCTCAAAGCCGTCTTCCATCCCTGGCGTACCGCCCAGCCTCTTCGTGAGGCTTATCGCGTCCTAGTGGTGCGCAGCCTGCCGAAAACGGCGTTTGCCTCTCAAACCACTTCAATGGCCGAATTGTTGACAAAGTTGTCTGCCGTAGTAGACGTTGAGGTGGACGTCATGGCAATGCCGAGAAATGATGGTGTCGATTGAGCTCTGGTGCAACAGGCAGAGACTCGGGTTGACCGGTCCAGTCTCATCTGCAAGATGTTCGACTGCTTGAACAAATGCCCATAGCTTCAAGGTCTCTGCCATTCAGAAACAGAACCAGGTGAGTCGATTCTCACATCCTCCTCGTCATGCCCAATCCGCATGCTATACAAAAGTAGACCTGCGTTGTTCTGTGAACATCAAGGCAGCATCACATATCATCCTGGGCATCATCGCCTTCAGTCAGAGGGCTATGGTACAGACCCAGTATAGCAAGAATCCCACCCGCAATGTGGCTATCCAGGCCGTGCTCCTCGAGAAGTCTCAGGATCTGATGAAACACGCCCGAAGACTGCCAGGCAGCTTGAATCCACCACTTCTCGGCCGCGCCCTGTATCTCGTCCTGCAGCTCCCTCGCACTGGGGCTGGCGCCGTACTCAAGGAGTAGAGAGACGAACGCCATGGCCGCATCCTTGGTTGTCTCCATGCACGCCAGGCGCATCGCCGTCTCCATGGCGCCGGGCTCGTCGGCCTTGGTGCCGTACTTCAGGAGGACTCTCACAACGGGGATGGACATGGCCGCGCTGGCTGGGTTGCTTGCGAGGTTCATTGCGTGTGCCAGGTCGCCCTCCTCAGTAGAGACTCCGTGCTCCAGGAGCGCGGTGATGAACGGGAGGCAATGGTCTCGCTGGTAGGCTTTGTTTCTCAGCAGGCTGGGATCCATGGCACCGGCTACTGAAGGCTTGACGAGGCTGGGGTCGCTGTATCCGGTCTTGGTCCTTGGGGGAGTGGGCTTGAATCGAGCGAAGTCAGCGGCCCCACGTCTGGGTGTGTCAGAATACGCATCATGGCCGGTCTGCAACATTCCGCCGTTGCTGTAACGATAAATGTTGATGCTTTGGGAGCCTGGGGACTGTTGCCCAATGACCATACAAAAGTCGTCGGCCGGGAGCGCAAACTCGACGGCTTCGCATGGCGTCCACTTCGCGCCATACCGCTGGAGGAGACTGATGAGGCGCATTGGGCATTCTCCATCTTCATTTGCGCCGCAGCCGCATTCCCACTGGCATTTCATGCACGTGCGAAGAATGAACCAGAGGTGCCGGCCAGTCGGAGTGAGTGCCTTCTGGGTCTCGAATGGCAAACGCGATGTGAACTTGGACGTGTAGCCACTCAAGGCGGCTGCCAAAAGCATGGGGAGAAAAGTGCAACGACAGTTGTTCTTGATATGAACAGCTACTTCTTGATCGCTGATCTGGTCGGCTACTCTTTGATAGAGGGGGTCGCGCAGGATACCCATCACCAGCTCGTCGGCCTTGTCAACTCCGCGTCGGAGGAGGTAGAGAACTACGGGAAGCTGGGCTACCTCGACAGCGAGCCTCAGCGGTGTTCTTCTGTACTCGAGTTTGGTACCCATCTGGTTCATATCGGCTCCCTCCTCGACTGCTCGGTGGACAAGATTGATGTAGCCTTTGTCGATGCTTCTGCAGAGGGTGTTTTGAAGACCGTGCTTCTTGGAGTACTCGTTGAAGAAGACGTTGCATAGTCTGGTACTTGTGGAGGCGAGGGCGAGTATCGAGTCATAATCTTCCCGATGGTCGAGGTCCTCGCTCATGACATCGGTCTCTGTCCAGGACTGTTGCGGAACGGCATTGTTGTTATAGGCGATCCAGATGTTCCCGTCTCGAGCGTCGACTTGTACAGGTGGAGAGTCTTTCAGGCAGCAGCCGATTCTTAGCTTGATCTCATCAGGGAGTCGTTCGAGGGGCGACTGCCCTGGAGGGAAGACGTGCGTCGCCACCGGGGCTTGGTCGTTCATGGTGAAGGGACGGTAAGAAATTGCACGATGCATGAAAATTGGGCGCAGCAGTGGCAGGCTGTTGAGTCGCTCGATTAATAGAAAAAGGCATCGGACAAGCGACTGAAGTGATCTGAAGGTGTTTCAAGTCTGGGTAGCGGTGGTTGAAGTGGTAGTGAGGAGTGTTCACCGAAACGAACGATTGAAAGTTTCCTTTTGCAGGCAAGCAGTCGAGGTATTTACACAGACCCCACCAAATCCAACTTGTGAATTGAGTTGAATCATTTGTGGTTCGTTTGGTTTTCAAGTTCTCACTTCTTGCTAAAGGACAGTGGAAGGCGTTTCCGTCGTCTCATGTGCCAAGTCAGTTACGGGCGCCACGAACTGCAGGCTTTCTTCATTCACTCATCCGCATATCACGCATTGCAAATAGGAGAAGTTAGATGGCTTCCCACAACAACATCGCGACCTCTCAAGGCGCTCCCTGACTAGTTCCAAATAAAGGCCATTTTGTTGACTTGTTTCCGCAGGAACAGAGCTGAATCGCCCTAGAGGAGCCCGGAGGAGCCGCGAATGCCCCGCTTTGCTCTATTACACAATCCGCGCGGTTTCTCGACTCGGCAATCCAACTGACAACATCCTCAGAAGCCTCGACAAACAAGCTCACAATGGCCACTACAAAACAAACCTTCGTGTACAAGACTGCTACGGTCCCCATCGAACTTGACGTCTACCTCCCCTCTACCCCACCTAGCGATGGCAAAGAACTGCCCCTGCTGGTCTGGTTTCACGGCGGCGGCCTGCTCCAGGGCAACCGCGACGGCGTGGCACCGCACCACCTCAACGGCGTCACCAAGCACGGCTATGCCCTCATAAGCGCCGACTACCGGCTGAGCCCCCAGGTCAGCGTCAAGGAGGTGCTTGATGACGTCAAGGACTGCCTGGACTGGACCGCGACCGAGCTGCCAAAGAAGCTCGCAGACAGCGGCAACAGCACCCTGCTGGACACGACGCGCATCGCCGTCTCAGGGAGCTCTGCTGGCGGCTACCTGGCCCTCCTGGCCGGTCTGTATGCCACGGGGCCGGGGAAGCCCAAGGTCGTCCTGCCGATATACCCCATCACCAACCCGCTAGGCACCTTCTTCACCACACCGCAGCCCCACCCCGCCGGCCATGTCGACAAGGCGACCCTGGAGCCTTACCTTGACCCCAAGGCGCCCGTGCAGGCTCGTACGCTTTGGGAGAACGACCCGCGAGCGTCCTTCTATTTCTACATGTTGCAGGAGGCCAACCTAGCGCAGCTGCTGCACATCGAGCAGGGCGATGACACGTTCATCATTGCGCCGCAGATCCGGAAGAAGGGTAGCTTCTACCCGACATTCATCGTCCATGGTGATGCTGACAGGTTTGTTGGCGTGGAGCAGTCGGATGAGGTCGTCGATGTGTTGAGGGAGGTCGGTGCTGTCGTCGAATATGAGAGACCCAAGGGGCTGGACCATATCTTTGACCTGAACGAGGATGTCAAGCTGGAAGGGTATTATGCATTTTTGAAGAAACATCTGTAGATGGTGCTTGTCATACGCCACGCGGTAGTACGCGCTGATATATAGACTTTTAGGTAGCTTACTATTTGCAGAGTAGACCCGTACTTGGTTTCCACAAATCGTAACTGACATATTCCAATGCCGTCTACTGCTGGCTAACATAGTATCAGAAGAGCATGAACATTATGAGCCTTGCATCACCTAACATACACACCGAACAATGTGAAAAGGCTGTCCAGCGTCTTGGTGCTGCCGTCCCATGCACTAAAGCTTAGATGGAACTGGCGTATTCTCATCGAGTCTTTTCTCTATGTCGTCTGGCCTATCTTGCCGCGAGAGGGTATATAATGCAGAACCATTGTAACAAGGTCAAGTTTACATTGCTGCCTTTTACCACTGTAATCTGTTCTAACGTGGGCCCCGGCGTTCTTCTCACTGTCGTAAGAATCATTCCCCAATTGTTTCTTAGGAAAAAGTCCAGAGTAAGGTATAGAAAGATAAGACCAAGCAATTCTATCTCTGTAGCTTCTGGAGAGCATCAGGGTGCCAAGTTTTCTGCAGCGTCCCCAGGACATCTTTACAGCTCAGGAGAACTCTCCTGATCAGAAAAAATGGGTCTTTTGAGGCTGACACTGACATTTGAACTTAGGTCGTCAGGGTGCTCACAAACGATCAGGTCTCGGAATACCAATTGCCTAAAACGGAAATAAATTCCCGGCCCGGCCCTGATCTTACGGCATTCAGAGGCCTTCCCCGTACATGATAATGACCCAGAGGGCTTCGTGAAGACAACCCTGGAATATTTCGGCGCAAGAATTACTTGATCTGAGCCCTTCATGTCCGGATTACGTTATTTGGAAGATTCGGATTTCAAAGACAGGAGAGAGCACATGCGGCAGATGAAGGTCCATGTGAGTCGCTACAAGAATATGACGACTGCCATAACTCGTCACTAGTTTTGTCTCGCTGAGTCCTGTTCTTTCTCTTTTATTTTTGATTTGGGGACGCAAATTGACAGTCTTTATCACGCAGTGCTTACGCTCGCAAGAAGTATCAAGCTCGCAAATCCAACAATTTGACACGATGGGGGACAAAGAAAGCACCACCGCTGAATTCCCGATCAGCGATGCTTCTGCCAACCATGCCATCGAGAAGCGAGATCAAGATGTTGAAGTTGTCAGAGAAAGTGCGGCATCGGAAGCATCCCCAAGGAATATTCACGGCTTCAAATGGGCGTTTTCGTGCGCTGCCCTGCTTTCTTCCATCTTTCTCTACGCGTTTGACTGCACCGTCGTAGCCGACATCCAGTCCAGTATCATCGCCGAATGGGGTGTCATAGACAAGCTGCCATGGCTCAGCAACGGCTTGGTCATGCCAGCCACCGCCTTCGTCATGCCATGGGGCCGCCTTTACGGCCAATTCAACGCCAAAGTTCTCTATCTGGTCTGCGTGCTCCTCTTCGAAGTCGGTTCCGCTCTTTGCGGCGCTGCGCCCAACGTCGATGCTCTCATCGTTGGCCGGGCTGTTGCCGGCGTGGGCGGTGCGGGAATCTATATGGGCGTAATGACCCTCATCGCTGCCACTACCACCATGAGGGAGCGGCCCTTTTATGTCGGCCTCACAGGCCTCACATGGGGCATCGGTATCGTCCTGGGCCCCATCATCGGAGGTGCTTTCAGCATATCCGCTGTTGGGTGGCGCTGGGCCTTTTACATCAACCTTCTCGTCGCAGTTCCTGCAGTGCCAGCATATGTCTTCCTCTTGCCCAATCACATTGATCCCCGGCCTGGCATCTCTTCGCGGGCACGCTTTGCAGAGATAGACTACATTGGCAACATTCTCCTCATTGGTGTTCTCATCTGTTTTATCCTCGCCATTAACTGGGGCGGCGTCATCTACCCCTGGAGCTCAGGCCAGGTTATCGGATGCTTCTGCGCGTCTGGCATGTTGCTCGTTCTCCTCGCCATCCAGCAGGTCCGCACTATCGCCACTACTCCGACCTGCCGCATCATCCCCGTGCAGATCTTCAACAACTCCACTGTCCTGCTCCTCGTTGCCTGCTGCGCGTCAGCCGGTGCCTCCGCCTTCGTGCCTATCTACTTCATCCCTACTTTCTTTCAATTTACCAGAGGTGACTCAGCGCTGGACGCCGGCGTTCGCCTCCTTCCGTTCATTGTCATCATGGTCGCCTTCATCATCATCAACGGCGGCCTGATGGGCAAATTCGGATACTACACGCCATGGTTCACAATTGGCGGTCTGCTCGCCATGACGGGCGCAGCGCTCATGTACACAGTACGGGCTGACACTGCCTTGAGTCGCATATACGGATACACGGTCATTCTCGGTTGCGGAGTCGGCATGTGGTTACAAGCTTCTCTCTCGGTTGCCCAGGCAGTTGTGTCGCCGGAGAACGTACCCGCTGCTGTGGGATTGGTGATGCTAGGGCAGTTCGTCGGAATCTGCATATCCCTCGCCATCGCCAATACTGTCTTTCTCAATGACGCCCGGAGGGCCATACAGGTCATTCTGCCGGATGTCCCATCTGAGACTATCGGGTCTGCCATACAAGGCTCCACGAGCGGATTCCTGGATACTCTGGAGCCTAACGTGAAGTCGCGGGTGTTAGATGCGATCATTGTGGCCATGGGCAAAGTCTATATTTTGGTTATTGTGGCGGGAGGATTGACGGCTGTCCTCAGCCTATTCATGAAGAGAGTCAGGCTTTTCGGGGCCGGGGGCATGCAGTCAGCGTAGGGGCGCGTTGCTCTGCTTTGTGCGAGAGCCTCATCACCATCAATGCTAATTTCATTCGAGAAGGCTTGTTCGTGTAGTTAGGCCTAAAATGTTGGAAGTGACTCCCTGGGATTCATCAAATAGTAGAACACTAATGCAACACAAGAATGCACCCACAAGACAGAGTGTGTAAAGGAACTGGGCTTGATTTAGCGCGCTGTGCTACTCACCTTGGAGCTGGATATTTTCTCAACTAGGGATCTTAGGTGGCAGACAGATGGACACGCTCTGAAGTGTTGAAAATAACAATACGTGTCTTGAAATCCTTACTCTACCGTCCTCGCGTCATCCTGGAACCCCTCCATGACATGTTGGACATTTTCCCTGGAGTTCCCAATGACGGCCTGCAAGTAATCGATGTTCACCCTCCCCAACCGACACGCCGGATCCAACACCTTCAACATATCCTGGCCCCTTGCGCTGATGGAGTCCAGCAGCCCGTTGGCCCGCCTCACCAACTGAGTCACTAGCATCCTCCTCCACAGCTTAGCGTCCTCCTCATCCGCCTCAATCGCGTAAGAGCCCATGCTGACGTTGATGTTGATAGCCCGCTCGTCCATGTCGTCCTTCGCAATGTAGACAAAGCAGGCATCCGCCTCCTGGAAGACAGCCATAATGCAGATGAGGTCGGTACAGTTTAATTTGCAGCTCTGACAGCTCACGATTCCCTGGCACTGCTTGATCACGTCGTTCGCCACCTGGAAGATACCGTCGAGCCGCCGCTCTTGCAGAGCCGCTCTGATGCCGGGGATGAGCAGGGTGAGCCCTGTGCGGCACTGGCAGCCCTGCGAGGTGAGCTGATTCTGCCAGGAGAGATCGTCTGCGCTGGTGATCAAAGGGAAGAGGCCGAGGCTCGAAAGGGATGACTGCTGCTCGGCTGTCGATGTGGGTGGCCCAGTGTTGTGATGGGCCGACGTATTTGATGTGGTTGTGGGCGCGCTTGGGAGTGCCCCAGATAGTTCGAGGGATGTCGCAGGGCTCACTTGCGCCGTCCAGCCAAGCGTAGGGTCGACCGCCCTCCAGTCCATGTACTGCTGCTGTGCTGACCTCTCTGTTGGGTGGCTCATATCGGACCAACCTGCAGAGGACCCAAGCAGTTGCTGGAAGTCGGTGTTGTAGCCTCCGAACTGATCCATAGGGTCGACACTACAATCGATCCGAGTTTCTTCTGAGAAACTCTGCCCAGGTCCCTGGTCCGAACGCTTTGGAGTGGTAGCAGAGCTGGGAGACTGAGTCGACCGTATGTAACTGCAAGAAAGTCCCCGGCTGATGCAGCGCTCACATTCGTGCTGCCTAGACCCGTTTCCATTACATCTGACCTTTGCGGTACGGCATCTCTCGCAAGCCGTCTTTGGCCGCCGGACCTGTGGCCTTATAATTCGGAGCTCCGAACTCTGCCATTTCTGAATCAGGTCAGCGGGGATATTTTGCTTCCCGGAGCCACGAGGCTTGCGGACAGTCTGCGTTGACATTGTACTTTGAGTGCAAGTAAAGAGGTTTGGTGTCGGTTGTGCTGCGGATTGAGACTCGTGGTGCCATTAGTATGATTTGTAAGCATTTCGTATATGCACAACGCCAGACCGTGGGAATAAGCATAAATTGGTACGTTGAATGATATTGTTAAAAATCGGCTTTGCCTTCTTGAACTCCAAATTTGAGGAACACCAACAAATCGAGTAACAACTACGAAAGGGGGAAAACATGGGTTGAGTGCGTCTTGTGATAATAAGTAAAGAAACGTCAAACTAAATTGGTCGCGTAAAAGACTAAGAAAAGAATGGTGTGCATAGAAGGGACGAAGACAATGGATACTGCATCTATGTGGATACTTCAAGACGAGTCGATGCTACGAAGCAGGTTTGGCTTGCCAGAAGGTCCCTGGCTTCTAGCAAAGATAATCTTGGCCCGCGATCTTGTTTGCCTCACAATCGTCCCTATTCCGGATGTCGCCGTCCATTGGCCTGCTTTGAGGTTGCAAATCCAGTTTTGAAAACTATAGTAGATGAATCTTGTGATCTCAAATGATAGCTATTTCTCGTCGTTCCATCATTCGGATATGGTTGTCGTTGCGGAAGTAAGAGACGTAGAAAGAGCCCACTCGCTCAAAAGTCCCAACACGCGTGAATGACTCCTGTAGGATTAATCCATGAATGAACCAATCTTCTCTCTCCGAATACTTGGCGAGGATTAGTGGGACGACTGTGACTGCTATTTCAGACACTTGATTCTCCTCGTTCTCCCCCTGTCGTAGGCGTCTAACAGAGATACGCTCCATCTGGGCGCCTTTCTCTTTGAAAGATGTAACCTGTAGTGGTGTATCGAACCTGACTTGACTGAATGACTCGCCTATCTCAGGCATACATATTCTCCACATTCTTTGTGCATTATCGAATTTTGCAACTGCTGGCCGTGCTATTGCTGAAAGCTCAATTTGTCCACTGGATACCGGTCCAAATGGATTGATCGTCGAAGGGTGTGTGTATGCTTTGAGAATTCGAGCCAGTGGCTCTTGTATGTCACAATTGCAGTGAAATGGATGCCATGAAATTGGGGCGTTGACCGAGACCCAGCTCCAGGTAGGGGCGTAGAAGTTCTCCTGGCGTATTGAGGGGCGGTCTATGGCATCGCGAAAATGTCCAATGAACCATAAGAGCTCCGATATGAGATCTTCTTTCCAGAGTCCAGCGAGGTAAGTGGCTCCGAATTCGGACTGTAAATGAGAAGCGGCAGCCGTTAAAGCAATGAGTTTATCCGTTGATTTGGTCAGAAGCCGTCTGCTGTAGGGCGTCAAGACTTTGTCCCTCCAGTACGTCCCAATGGTGGCGCCTTTGGATCCAGTGGTGTGTCGGTTTGCAGGTTTAGCTTTTCGAATATTGTCAACAGCAGGATAGTAATCAGGGCGGAATTCCGAGCAGCCACATTCGCAAAGAGTGGATTCCATGCACTTCACTTGACATCAGCGATATGATCTCCTTCCCAGCGCTGCGTGCATGATAAGCGTCATGATGCTAAGCAAATGTTTGTAAATAATACCGTCACGAGAATATTGGGACTATTTTAAGTCTTCTGAAGGCTCGTACCGACAACAGTTCTGGGTATATATGCCCGTTCTAAGGTCAGATTATAGGGAAATCAGACCCTTCTTTTCTCTTCTCTTCTCATTTACTCGTGGCAGATAAGATGTTTCATATTGGGCTGAGGCCAAGGTTTGCTTGACCACGCAACAAGGTATCGCTCAACAAAGAGCTTGCGTCGAAGAAATATAGAACAATTGAGAATGATTGCTTACTGTCCAAGATAGTTCACGTCTCCCAAAGGCCAGATATCGTCTGGCCAGCAGCCTTTCTTGCAAAGCCCATCCTCGCATATCCAACGGATCTCCATCTAGTGGATCAATGAATACGTCATTCTCCATGTACAATGGAGGGCCCAGACGATATTTCAGACGTAGTGGCTGTCCATTTTCTGATCGAGACGGAATATGAACCGATGACTCCCTTGTGAGTCTCTTATGTCCAAGAAATCCCTCATTGGCGGACGAAGAACTGGCAGCTGCTAGCACAAGGTCTGCGTTGCTATATACAGATGCCACTGCGAGATACCGCGTCAGTATTTCGTGGGAGTACTCAAACTTTGAATACAGTCTGGGCAAGATCTCACTCTGGCTTGACTGTTCTTCCCAGTCTCGGTGATCATCCTGAATGATGCAAAGGGAGTCTATCCATATGAATTTGAATCCCAGATTCCGCGACACTTGAACTAAAAAAAAAACAGTGTTCAGTATTCAGTTGATTCACTGCGTAAAAATGAAGATCTCGAGTAATTGTGGGTGTTGGAGTGCTTCCTTCCCCCCTGGCAGGCGTACCTGCAACGCCCTTCGATTACACTTTCCGATACTTGACGATGTGCCTTTTGCCACTCACCCATCGATGACGGCGCTAGTCATTGAGTCTTCCGGTATCTAAAGACGCAACTAGATATATACTCACTAGCATCGCGGAATGTAGCTGGTAAATCATTTTGTGACATTCCGTATGCAACGTGTATGTCAACATTGTCTCGGCAAGTTTTCAGAGTTAGCGCAGTTCCCCAACAGTGGCTCAACGCCACATAGCGAACATTTGTGCCAGAGCTCAAATCCAGTGCGACCAGTCGCTGGGCCCGACCAGTAATATTAATGAGTCTAATTGGATATTTGAAGTGGCTCATGTCCTTCTGATTGCACTCCGTGTGGTTGCTTTCACATCCAGCCAGCCACTCGCGGGCCAGCTGAATGCACTCAGGCGAGGATGCGAACTTCTGTATTTGCCGGTACGGTTCAAGCTCTGGAATCGAGTTTTCGCTTTGGCCTGGAAGAGCTATAGCGTTCTACAGGCGTATTCGATCAAGAGACTAGACCAGGGTTGGGATTTACTTACCTGCTGAGTAAACAACCAAGTGGTCTTTCGAGTGTTGTGATCCGAGTGTGCTGTTGTTCACTTGCATGAGAAATCGGCCTTGTCTTGGCAGAAGCGTCATGCTGCATCGATCGCCTTTCGGCTCGGTAACGTATTTTTTCTCACGGGCATCACGCAGGACAGCCTTGACCATTCCCCACAGAGGACATCCCAAACCTGCAGCTTCGACATAGTCCTCCCATCCGTAGTGTGGTTCTGAAAGTTCGGCCAGCTTCGGCCATTCCGCCGACATGTCGCACCCGCACTTCAAAAAAGTCTCGACGGGAGAAAGAGATTTCTCTTGAGTATCAGTTGCATCCATCTCGGCCCACAACGTCAGATGTGAGTGGGTGGGGAAAGGATGACCAAGTTTGAGGGCACAAAGTCGAACCCCTCTTTTGAGGCAATCATAGGAACATAGCGCATGTGTAACGCGTGGCTGCCTGCATGTACTGAATAAGCCATGCCCAGTGTGCTGTGAAAGAATGTTGTTGCTTACATGCACCTTGCCCCTCAGCCCTGAGGCTAGTCGAGCAGGCAGAAGCCGATCAGCCTATCAATAATCAAAACAACAATTTCGCGTCCTGTCAGATAGTTTCAGATGGCGACTCAGCACAGTGGAACTTACTCCTCATCCTCAACTTTAACCAACCTCGTCACGAGCAGCTGGTCGTCATAAACATGGAAAATCATGAACCTCACATCACCTACCACTCATCTCCCTGCCCTTCCCATTCTGCGTCTTCCTCTTTCTGTCCGGCAACGTATCTACCTGCACGCTGATTTGATACCGACACGTGGTTATGGTCGACATTGTGTGCTTGACTTGCATGGACAAAACTAATCATTTCATCTACGCTTCCATGGCCTGCTGTTTTCCATGCTGTACCAAATATGCCGAAACTTCCGCCATGGTGTATTCTGCCAATAGATTCAACATTCATTACTGGGACACGAGATCTATTGAGCCCTTGCGAAACTTGACTTCTACTTCGCTCTCAACACTCAAATATCTCTGAAAGTTATCCTGAACGAGACTTGTCATGCTCGAAGCGAGGTAGAAGCCTACGATGGATACAATGTTGATTGAGACCACTCGAAGACATCCATGCAGAGTGAAGACGAGGAATTCCCCAAGGCACAAAATGTGCCTCTCAACAGCTGCCGGCCGCTAACGGAGGCGTTGCTCGCAACATGGTGCTCAATGGCTCGTTGTCTATCGTCCGGAATAGCTACAATGCAGCTCGAGCTATATGTGATTTGTGATATTGATTCCGAAGACATCAATGCAGCCCAGCGTGTGGTCCATCCAATATTCTGCCTCTCAGCTGAAGAAATGCCATCTTCGCCTATCTAGGACATCGACTCCTGAACTCAATAATATAGCACGGCTTGCAGCTCTCCAACTCCATGACATATGCTGGTGACGGGAGATGCCTCTAGTCCCGTTACGCCACGACTCATCGCCTCCAACGCAGGCTCAGAAGTACAATGGTTCCCGGCTCCTAGCCCTTCCCCGTGAGTTGCGCTTTCGCATTCTGGAGCTTGCCGACCTCATTATGCCGTGGAAAGAGGTCACGTGGAGCAAAAAGCACCGGGCTTTCTTAGGACCCGCGCGTTCTGTGCTATTCTCGATCATCGGGGAGAAGGATGCCCGCCTCACGTCCACCATAGTTGTCAATTTGTTCAGTGCTGGCAAAGATGCCCTCAGTTTGCTATTGGCTGCTTCTGTCGTATCAACCACTCGGCCTTCTCGTCCACTTGCATGTGTTGGATGCCACCGCGAGATCTGTTTCTTGTGTGCCGCACTCCGTAAGAAGATGCGCTGGTAGTATTCTATTCAGGAGACCGAATTTCCGTCCACGATCATAGCCAGAGACTCATTGCGGGGCCCACCCTTCGATTAGTCATGGCAGATTTGGACGGATGGGAGATTCCTGATGATCGCAGAAATGTGACACGAGAGCAAGGAAGGCATATCATTGCCAATTACACACGCATCGTGGCCCCAATAGCTATCCTTGGGGCACAAGGTCTCGCGAAGTTCTATCGTCGCTTTGCTTGGCCCTGGACCCACACTCAACAGCCCGAAAGTAAATGGATAGAGTATGGTTGGGAATGGGTCACGACCAAAGAGAGGGAGTTGGGAAAGCGTTGAGGGCGACTTGCCATGGGCGGCCGATACGAATCGCTTCACTCTGTCGGGACGGAGCCTCCTGACAGCCTCTGGGTGCGAAAATATGTTAGGGACGCTTGAGAGGCGATAACGTACCTATTGTTTGAACAAAATAAATGGAGTTACGCCTAACAAGGTAAGAAAGAGAATATACAAAGATATGGAATACATGAGGACATGCCGGTGTGACTGACCAGGAGATGATGCTCCATGCTGAGTTCAGCAAAGTGAGGCCATTGGGAGCAGACCAATAATCCGATTCCATGCGTAGTGCGAGATTCCTTGATTGCGTGACGACTGCTCGTGCCCCATGTACCAAACAGCACATCATGCCCGTTCCCGTGGGCGGTATGGATCGAAGATTTTACAATAATTTGCAGTGAACAGAGACACGCATCAAGTAGCTTGGCTCACTTTATTTCTACTCGTCTCTCCAATTCCAGACGTATGATTGCTACGAATGAGCAAGATGTACCATCGCTGTAAATACAACGGGAGAAGAGTAAAGCTTCATTCGTTTCTTCCGGTCATCACGCCACAGAAATTGCACGAGTTTTCATCCCAACTGTGCCCACATGGGTGACTACCGCTTTAATTAGGATGCGAGTACATAGATGTTACGAGGGTAGCATGTACCACCTATTTGGCAGATCGATTGGTACATAATGTTTGCTGCACGTAATGCGACATTGAGAGCCGGTAACACATGCAGGCGACTAAATCCCAGCAACACATATACACTTAGCATTTGTCTGTCACGCTTCTGAGTATGCTGCTACTTCGGCGATGAATCTAAAAGTTGAGAGAAAGCTGGGCATGACGTCGGAGAAAAGATCAAGAATCACGCAGACCGCATCTAATTTTGTTTCCACTTTTGTAATCTTTTTTCTCGTCCTTCTTCCTCTGATTAAAAAAGGTGCTTCTAGTGATACATGAACTTACAACTTCATGCTAACCTGTGAAATTACAATGCAAAAAGACACTTCTAACACTGTGCTATCAACATTCAACTGGGGGCACATGGGTGGCACTGCCGAAACTTGCATTACTTGCAAAATTCTCCTAGAAGCAGCTCACCTTATAGCGAGTAAGAGCATTCAGAGACGCGACGACGGAGATGGATTTGAGCAAGACACGGATGAACGCCTGGCCAAACTCGGACGCTTGGGTGACATTTCGGAGAATTCAAGCTGTGAGGCACACAAAGACTTTATGCGACATGCGTTCAGTCTAGATGAAAGCCAGACATTACCAACTAGATTGATCTCTGAGGACGGCGTAGTTGAAATGGGCTGGCGGGTAGAGACAGGCTTCGCAACTCTTGCTTTGTATGGTAGCGACAGCTGCGCTGAAGAAGACGTTTTGTTGCTGGACAGTGAGCCCGACCATTTTGGGTTGTCTTGCATGGGGCGATCCAGAGATGAAGGATTCATCAATATCGACCTATTAAAGAACTGGATCTCCACTTGCGAAACATATCATACAGAAAGTTGTTGTGTATCGACTTCGCCTTCTACCTCGCTATCATATATGATCGACACCATAAGCTGCTGCTTAGTTCCAGCCAGGCAGGAATTTCGATATGTGGCACTTAGCTACGTATGGGGCCAGACTGAGATGATAAAGACAACCAAGGAGACGCTCAGCGCTCTGCAGGAGGCTGGAGCACTGGGTGCAAATACACACTTGAAGATACCTCAGGTCATAAGAAATGCCACCGCCCTTGTTTCTCGGCTAGGAGAGCGTTACCTATGGGTGGACTCTCTCTGTATTATACAGGATGACCAGGAGAACTTGGATCGCCACATCCGTCATATGGCTTCCATCTATGCATCTGCCCTTTTCACAATTGTTGCTGCCGACGGTCTGAATGCAGAGCATGGCATTTTGGGGATCAGAGGCATATCCGCAGCCCGAGAGCTTCCACCCTCGTTGCAACTAACGTCGAAACTTCGTCTACAACTGCGAAAGTCGGTCAACATACTTGCCAGCCCCTGGGGTGGCCGAGGCTGGACTCTGCAAGAACACATCTTCTCCAGGAGGAAACTCGTCTTCGTCCATGACTCTGTTCAATGGATATGTCAAGAATGCCGATGTTTTGAAGACATCTGCCAGGTCTCTCCGTCCATCCGGAAGATGAAAAGAAGAGAATACGACATGGAGCAGGAACTTGAAAGTCTTGGGGATCTCGCGCTCGAATATCCAATGATATCTGAGTTGGAGGGGCTTTTGCATGATTATAGTACCAGACATCTTACCTACCAAGGCGATGTCCTCAATGCCGTTGGTGCAGTCTTCACGGCTCATCGTAAGGCTTTCCCTCATGGATTTCTCCTTGGCTTGCCGATAGATTTCCTCGACATGGCGCTGTTGTGGTCTCACTCCTATCGCCCAGCGAGGCGTCAGGCGCGCTTGCACTCTTCGCGGACTCATTTCCCAAGCTGGACGTGGGCTGGGTGGGTAGGCGTATTGAAAAACGGGCAATGGCGTTCTGCAGCTTATATAAAAGACGCAGATGAGGAATCTTGGATTGATCGCAAGGAGTGCCAGACCATCCCAATACTTGAATGGCGGTGTCGGTCTAGCAGTGACTTTCTAGATTTGCTGATCCCAGGGCAAAACAGCGCCCATGCTTACAAACAAAACTTCATGGGAAAGAAGACTGGGCTCCCACGTGGATGGAAGTATGAAGACGAATCATTCGGGCCAGTCTCTGAAAAAGACACCCGCTTAGCTGAGAGCAACTCGAGCAGCGGCTGGGCTCTCGCAACGCCTTACTATTATTCCTACGACGCTGCTCCTGGTGTCAAGTTTTGGCATCCGGTACCAGTCTTCCTTGAGCCATTAAGCACTACTATGGTTCCTGCCAATGCTCGGATTCTATGTGCGAAGACCCGAAGAGGCCGTCTTTGGGTGATCAGTGCCAAGGATCATGCCGATGGAATCAAAGGTTTGCCATTCGTAGGTGTAGGAGCAACATGTGTCCGCCTTTTCAGCCACACAATTAAAGTCGATACTGTGCTCACGAATGAAAAGGGAGACTTGGTTGGCGATTTGCGCATCGACGATCGGGAAGACATCCATCTTGTCAACGAACTCAAATGTGAAGCCGATCAAGCCGGCCTTCCTTGCGAGCTGGTTGCAATTTCCAAAGGAAATGATTTCATAGAGCCTATGGAGCCTTTGAAGGAGACCTACACATTTTACAACGTCCTGTGGATAAAATGGGAAGACGGCATCGCGTATCGAAGAGGCGTGGGTCGAGTCACAAAGGAGACATGGGAAAGCATGGAGCTGGAAGATGTTGACTTAGTGCTAGGCTGAGGAAGACCAACATTCATTATCACCGCGTGAAATAAATAATGCGTTGCTTAAACTAGGAAAGGTTTCAGAGCTTCTGGACCAGTGTTAATTCTTACTACGGTATTCACATAAAGTATTGGGATGTGTCTAGAAACTTTCTGTTGAGTTAAAGGCTCTCCTCACAACCTGGGAAGATATACTTATTCCGCGCATGAGAATTTCCAGAACCCTATGTGATAATTGATTGCGATCTTTCAAAATTGAAGTTAACGCAAGTTTTTTCCCCAGGTTTTCAGAATGTGCAAGCAACCCTTCTCATGGTAGTCTAGTACCTAGGCGGATATACCTCTGTCCAAGCGGGCCAGGGAGAATATCTCTGCAAGCATGAAGATAGGGACTAGTGCACGAACCAATGATCTTAGCCAAAGCATCTGAAGGACTTTAACTTACATTGCTTATATCTATATGTGTGGATCAGTATCTGGGTGATGTGAGTCTGCTCACGTACGGACAACGTGTGATATAATGTTGCCCAACCGGCCAACACTACCTACATACACTTAGGTGTCCATTTCCTCACTAATTACCAATTATCTAGCATTCATATAAAGATGTTTGGCTCCTCCTGAAATGACCATATCTACAGTGTGCTGTGACGCGAAATACTCAATTACACATTCGGGGGGCGGGGGCACATTTCACGTCAGATGCATCAACTCCACACTTTGCCAAAAGCGCTTGATCCAGCTGCATTGATTCTAGATTGCTTTTAGGTCTTATTTCCCTCACCAGATTGAGACCATCCACCAGCAGAGAAATCTAGTACCCATCCTCTCAATCCTCAAACCTCTCGTTTAGCCTGTGTATGTTTCCACTTTTTTTGGCCGGTAGTCCGAGACATTCGGCTGTGATATGACCGGTATCGTCGGCCAATGATATGGTAATTTTGGATCACTAGCAGTGATTAGCATATTTCTGGATATGTGTGAGACCTCAGTGGCACATACCCTGTCTCTCCCTTCTCTGCGATCAGGTTGACATCGTAGACATAGAAATCGAAGGGTTTGACCCGCTTAGCTTGTACCACGGCACCCAGGTATTTGTCGTCAAAGATGACCGCGTCGTCCTGATTAAACACGGGTTTCATCATGTTGCTCATTGTGGCGTTTGTACTTTTGGGCTGGTTTATGTTGCTGATATTGTTCTGGCTTTGCTCGCACTGCAGTTGCGTTGACTAATGCTGCTTCTCTTGATAGCTTGATTATTGGTTATGCTTTCTGATTATGGTGTGCTCTGTCTTGAGAGTGGGCTGGTAGAAGGCAAGAGAAAAGGCTTTTTATAGGAATTCTCCGAACAGTCACACTACAATCTTCTAGAAAGACTTTCTTGTGACGGTATCTCTCCAAATGATGAGCAAAGTTTCTATACACAGGTTATTGCTTGTCAGACCTTGTCCAGAGTGGAGTTTCATCGTTTTTCACAGACTCTCGACTGCAATACCCAGTTCGGCAGTCGTTACTTTAGAATGTAATGATTATCAGTTAACACTGACTGTTACTTATCAAATTCTTGTCCTTTGTGACTCGCTACTCTCTTGAACCTTGGGCTGAAGGACAAAAGCCTGTGTACCGATGAGTTCACAATAATCACACCTTTGCAATACTCATAAATGAGTAGCAGAAGGAATCTGGCTGAATTTGCATGACAAGATATCGAAATCTCGTAACACCAGAGAACTTTTTTTTTTTTTGGAATCAAACTGATCTCATGCATTTCCTTAAGACTGCCATTGACTATCCGTCCCCGAACTACAAGACACCACGTATGCCCTATCTCAACACTGCCGAAATGATGTTCTGTGCGTTCTGCGTCCGCGCACAATGATCCTCAGGAAGACACCACAGGTGGCCTGAAGCCATAGCTTCGACTCCTCTGCACAGTCTCCGACATACACAACAAATTTGCGTCATTCTCAATGTCCGTATGCTTCACGAGCGAGGCTGGACCACCACCTTTACAACTGCAAGTGAACCGCCACTTCCGACGGCATGAGCATGATTTCATATTCAAGCAGAAGCAACCTCGACTTTGGGTGTAGCATGCGTCTTGACATATAGAGTCCCAGGCGATCCATGGGGCGTTCCCGGAGGGCCAGCCTGAGCTGGGCTGCTGTTGCCTTAGTCGACTTTTTCGATACTCCGGGACATAGTCAAGCAAGGCTGTTTGAAAACGGTATGGTGTGAGTATGAGTGGAACTATTGTGTTATAAAGCAGAATGCGAGGACTTGGTTTAACCCGTCGCCAAAGCCTTCCGCTGACGGATCGACATGTCGTGGTCGAGGTTCCAAGGGATATAGCTTTTTTGGTATGGCTATTCTGTTGTCCAGTATAAGTGGGGTTCATATTTCCCAATCATTCAAATTGGGTGTTTGATGGTGTGCTTTGGTCATGTCGGGTCAACATCAGTTGAATTATTGCGCTTAGTCGTTGCCGTTCGTTGCACTCGTCCTCACGGTCATGTCCATAAAAAGTTTTCTGGTCTAGGCTAAGATCAAAGCTCGGTTTATCGGCTGTAGTTGTTGACTGCCAGACACCATGAGGCGGGGGTATTTACTATTTTTCCTGTGAGAGTGACCCAAGGTAGAGGCATCCTCAGATGGGAGAGAATAATGTACCTGGGCTGGAGGAAGGAACTTGAGGGGGAGGGGTTGTGACCTGGGGGAGAGCGAAAGTTGGGCCGAGTGGCTTGTTTTAGAGACAAGGAGACAGGAAGAGGGAGATAGGAGGATGGAGGGAGGGACCAAATCATTTCACGAAGCACATGAGCACATTAACACCGAACATGATCAAATGACCCAGCTATATTCCAACTCCATGCCCGCACCAACAAAGCCTCCTAACCTCACACGAAACAGAGCAAACTAGACTCATTCTGCAACTGAGAAGCCATCCACGCCTATGTGTATGTATGCGGGAACGCGTTCTAATTTTTCATACAACACACAACCCTGCCCTCCCTTTCAAAACCCCACCCCAATTCAAACCTACAAGATAATGCCCAACTCCCCACGATCAATGCCATCTTCAGAAAGGTTAGGGTAATAAGGCACCATAGCATCAGCCTGCATGACATAGGCATCATTATAAATCCTCCAGAACGGCTGGCGCACCTTGCGCGCAGGGTGGAACAGCCCAGCCCAGACATAGTTCATGACGAGACCGGGGCCCACAGCGACACGAATAGCCTCGATGGCCTCGATGACACGGTCGATGACGTGGGGAGACTGCTCATAGGCGTTGGGCAGGATGAGGTTGAGGCAGTGGAGCATCGCGTCCTCGAGCCCGAGGCCGACGACGCCGAGCGCAATGTGCTTCACCACCGACGCCGCCGTCTGCCGGTGCACTTGGTCTCGGTCGATGAGAGCGTCCTCGAGAAGTGGCACTACTGCGTACACGTAGTCCTTGGCCATCTCGCCGATGTACTCGAACAGGAACGAGAGCGACTTGAGCACGCCCGTGCGCACGTTGAGCTCCGCCACTGACGCGTACTCGTTCATCAGCGCTGGGAGGACCGTGAACGGTGCGCAAGTCTCAGCGACGATACCGATGGCCTGATGTGCGTGTTAGCAGCCTGAACAAACATAAAAATGAGACTTAGGGTTGGAGCTGGGGGGATCACTCACAACTGCCGTGTTAACACGGCTCTGACGCTCCTGCACCCGCAAGTTGGACAACAATGTCGCCAGCACATCTTGGGGGCCAATGGCCTTGGCGATGAAACCAAAGGTGTTGTTGGCAGCGCGGCGGATGCCCTTCTTGTGTGCCTTAAGCATGTCGAGCAGCTCAAAGCAAATACGCATCCACTCGCGCGCGTTAACAGACTCGGGGCCGCGGTCGGCGATACGCCCGACCAGGTCAACTACATTCTCCTGCACCCGCTCGTGCCGGTTGCGCAGGATGGGCGTCAGCCGCGGGAGCAGGTCCTTGATGGGCGGCTGCATTTGGTTGATGCCGACGACGGTGACGATTGATCGCAAGGCACCAAGGATGGCGCCGAGAACCTCGGGGTATTCTTCGCCCAGGTATTCGTAAAGCACGATGCCGAGCTTGCCTAGGAGTGCGTCTTCGCCGCACTGGGCCATGACCATTGCGATGCGAGAAATGAGGTCGGCAGCCTGCTGTCGGGTTGCCGCACTCTTGTTGTTGAGCCGCCAGAGGATAGTACTGACGATTTGCGGCAGGTATGGCTTGGTCCTTGTGCCCAGCGCGTTGACGCATGAGCCAAAGGCGTTCAGCACCACGACGTCTTCGACCGACTGCTCCTGGAACGAGTGGAGGATACCGTCGATAAGCCGCTCCTCTAACCTCTCACCAATGTCAGCAGCGCCAAGAGATGCGACAAGCTTCTCAATAGTTTCGACGGTCATTTTACGGTAGGCCTCGCTCTCGTCTTTCAGGTTGCCGACGATCCTCTCCAGAATCTCACTGACACCAACTTTCTGCCCAAGATCACAGGTGGTCTCGACAACCGAGCGGTAGTTTCGTTTGTCAAGTGCCACTCTCCGGACCCAAAAGTTGGAAAAGAAGTCATCCAGCACGTGAGACTTGAGGTAACCTGCAGTGACTCCTTCAGTCTGGGACATCTTGGAAAGCACTGTCAAGACCACACGCCTCATCTCATCGTCAGGGCTCTGGAATTCTCGTAGCACAACATCCATAATCTGTGACGTGTAGTAATTCGCGTACTCTTCGTCCATCAACGGGATGATGAAACCAACAGCCTTGAGGAACGCAGCCAAGTTCTTTCCTCGTTGTCGCTTCGTGCCCGTCCACAGCGGGTTGAGGATACTGTCGAAGCTTTCAATACCGTAAGGGTTGGCAGCTTCAGCCAGTGCCGCGGTCGCGAGCGCCGTGACGGTACGCACCTTGGTCTGCTCGTCGTTCAGGTTGGGCCTGATGCATTCGACTAGGTCTGTGAGGTGAGGTAGCACGGAACAACCCATTAGGATAGCAATTTGCTGCACAATCTTGACACCCGTGTGTCGTGCCTGCCAGCTCTTCTTGGTTCGCGTAACAGCTCGCAGGAAGGGAATAAGGGCCGGAATTCCGAGGGCCGAGGCGACAACTGCAAAAGCACGAGCCGTTGTGTTTCGAACGTACTCATCGACGTGGTCAATATCAGGTCTCATGGTACTGATCATAGTTGACAAGCCAGCGGCCTTGGCGAGGTTGGAGATAATCTCACGACCCTCGACACGGGCGTAGTAGTCTTGATCGATCAGAAGAGGCTCGATGACAACGAGGATCTTGTGCGTATATGGCCTCACCAATTCGTCCAACTTGTACAGCACTCGGTCAATGACCTTCACCAGCAAGTGGCGCTCCTGATCCTCAAGCGTCCTCTCCATAAGAAGCGGCAGGATCTGGTTGAATAGCGGGCCGGCGCCGAAGCTTCGTGCATTGTCGGTCAGCTGACGCAGTGCAGTCTTTCGCATGGGCGGTGTACCGTTCTTGATCTTGAGGAGCAACCTCATGATCTTCCTCTCTTTGAGCTCATCCACGCTCAGATGTTCCTCGTCGACAGTCTCGGTAAGTTTGGAGAAATACTGCATATCCTCTGGCTTGAAAAACTGTAAATCACCAACACCGGGAATCTCCTTTGGTAGCTGATTCCCAGCCAGCCGCGCTGAGTTGGGGTCCTGCATCATGAACCCGGTCGTCTGAACCGGAGTTTGCATGAGCTTGTGTGCAGGAGCACGAACTGGGGCGTATCCTGGCGGTGGCTCGAGAACCTTGTATCCGTCAGCCTCGCCCGGCAGGATGGCGTCGAGCTCCTCGTCGCTAATGGGCGCATTGCGTGCTGACATGTCCATGCCAAGAGGAGCTGCCGGAAGCATCGAGCCTTGAGAGGGGTGCATGGGCGTGGCAAGTCCGGTGTTGCCAACGGGCGTGGCCGCTGGAGCCTGGTCCCAGCGCGACCGCTTCTTGACTTCGGCGCCCGGAACCTGGATCGCGGGAGCTTCGTCCCAGCGCGACCGCTTCTTCTTCTCCGGCTGTGCTTCTGGCGCAGGTGTCGCGTCATCCGCCGAACTCACATCCCACCTCTTCTTGCGCTTCCGACCAGCCGCAGCCTCTGTAGAGCCGGCTTCCTCGTTTTCCTTGTCTCCGTTGGTCAGTGCCAGCGTCGGCTTGTGCTCCTCGGTCGCATCGGCATCCCCATTCTTGATCTTATCCTCGATGGCCTTCCTGACTCGTTCCTCTTCTCGCTCCAGCTCTGCCTTTTCCATGACGGTTCTGTAGGTCTCGCCATCCTGGCCCGCGGCGGCCGCCTGCCTGTTCGCCGCAAAGGGGTCGGCACGTGTGGGGGTCAGCACGCGGTCGAAGCGCCTCTTCTGGTAGTCGGTCTCTCGATCCGAGATGCGGTTGCTGCGCTCGCCCTTGCCCAGCAGCACATCCTCCTCTTCGACACCCTCGCCTCGTGAGAACTCGTCGATCTGCGCCTGGGTGGCGGTGTACTGCCCGACCAGGCGGCGGGAGTTGTCGGGGCCATCGACGTCCATGTCATCGCCATCGTCGTCGCCGGCAGGCAGCGAGGTGTGGTATCCGGCAAACTTGTCGGCGCCATTTCGCTCGTAGAGGTCGGTGTCATAGGCTTCGGTGAGGCTGGCCTTGGTGGACGAGTCGCGCTGGGAGGAGAGGTCTCGTGAGGCTCCTTTCTTGGCTGCTGCAGCGGCGTTGCGCTCGGCCTGCAGCTTGCGGATCTGCTCGAAGTCCGAGTCCGACATGGTTGCAAGATTAATCGACTACATGTATCGTGTTGGCTTGTATCTGTAGGACCGTGGCACAGGATGGGGAGGGGCTCGGACGGGCTGTCTGGATGGCGTTGATGGTTTGGCGAGGAGGCGACGTCGCGAAAATTAGAGCTCTGTCGTGAAATGGTAGGGACCTAGTCTGCGGTAGCACAAGGCTGGAAACTTAAGTGGGTCTCCTTGGAGGTGCCCATCTCCGCCGAGTGGCGGCTTTGCGTTAGTCCCATTTTCGGCCCCCGGGGCCCCCTGTCAGCCTGTCTGCGGGCGAGGGAAAGTGTACATTGTACCATCCCTCTCCAATCCTCATGCTCAAGAAGAGGACTTTCAAACAAGACTCATTTCATTCATCGCTTTTTGTATGACTTCAAAAAGCTAGTTGTACATGGGTATCAATCTTATCATCCTGCCTTGAGAATGAGATCTACTGTAAAGCACCTTCTCAAAAATAAACACCAGAAACCGTGGCAGGCCCCCGAACGCCTGTTTGATGCTGCCTCTCACCAACCAACGCCTGACCCGACAAAGATGTTTCCATGATCCCGTTGACCCGATACCTTTCTGATTGGCCTCGTTACATCTCCAAGTTGTATGCCTATCGAGTACTTTGGGGTCCCATGGCCTGGCGTGAGCTGATCACTCCTGGATTCCAACCGGCTTATTGCTCGAGAAGAGAAACCATCCATGGTCCATCAACAGGATTGAATTGTCTCTGCTTCTCATCGAGAGGCAGATACTCATTTCCTTGCTCCAGGATCTTTTTGGCCTCTTGGACTACCTGGTCAGGCAGTAGAATTTCCTCCTCGTCCATCGCCTTGTGCTGAAACAGGAGCTTCATGGCATACACACCCTGCTTGGCGGAGCACGAGAACTTGACATGAGGGTTCAGAATCCAGACAGTGACGGCCTCCTTCTCTCCCTGCAAGACAACCTTTGCACTGCCAGAGCGAGCCTGGGTCGCGACGAGGGCCGCAGCGAGACAATGAGACAGAGATGGTGGGGCAGAGGAGGGCTTGCTCTTGCCGGCTTCAGCTTGGTCGACGAGGTTGAGCTTCCACTTGAAGAGCGCGAGGCCATTCTTGCGGTTGTCAACCCGCCCGAGCTGAGTCTTGCACTTGTGGCAGTGTGCATCGAGAGTACGGAAACCGCTGTAGTCCTGGGATACGATGCTGTCGTGTGCGGCGTCGTAACGAGGGATCTATATCATGGCAAATCAGCAAGGGCCGTGCTATGGTGCAGTCGTTAAGATTTATGTGACTCTGACTAATCGCGACAGGCCCAGGACTTTGAGCAAAATCGGTGAAAAGCAGAGTAGCTGGCCCTCTGCCTCAAAACGAGAAAACCGCGTCGCAGACACGAGGGTTCACTTGTTCCTCAGCAGCTCGCTGGATGCAAGGCGAGCCAGTGGTTCGATCTTGGGCAAATGTATAGGTAGCCACACCACCAAGGAGGCGGACACCTTCTTTGATGCCCTATCGGGTGGGACATATGTGTAGGGAGGATTTGGAATGGAACAGGAAACTAGATTGGAGATGATATATGCTTACCAACAGACAGTTGCAGTCGTCCTGAGAGAAAAGAATGGTCATTAGATCAACAAATCCGACCCCATTCTTCGCAGAAATGATGGAATTGGCACCGTAACCACGAGAAGCCAGGTCATCCTCAGAAGCCTTCTCTTGAGCACCGGCAGCAGCATCATTCGCCTGGCCACCAGCAGGTTTGTGGCAGTGCCAAAACTCCATCATCTCGGCCCAATTTTCACTGGGCAAGTCCTTGAACGACTTGATTGTCTCCTCTGGGATGATGGGCTCATTGCATCCTCGACAAGCAATACGCAGTCCCGGCTTAAGATCCGCTGCAGACCAGGGCACGCCGTCCGCGGCGATAAGCTGTGCGGCCTGAGCCTCCTCTGGAGTGGGAAGCAAGCGCCAGCTCATCTTATCGAGGCCTGGCTTGACCTCTCCTGGGAGATGCTCGCCGGCGATGCGGTTCTTGACCGGCAGGCGCAGCTTGGTGCTGCTGCCGTCGTGGTCGACGATCAGATGTAACGCATCCCTCGCGACGAGAACCTTGGTCTTGTGGGTTGAAGGGGTAGGGAGGTGTATGACCACAGAAATCCGACCCAGGCGTGGTAGAAACTCGGCATAGATGTTGGGCTGGGTCATCACTGTGGTGGCCGCAGCTGATGCAGGAGGCTGCGGGTCTGCCGCCATGGTGGAGGGCGACGAAGAGCCAGCCAAGGCCTTGCAGCTAAGGCCTGTCGTTATCAGTTACGCGACATCTATTTCTAGGTATCATCCATACGTAGACGTACATGGAGAACCGATGAAGTAAGAGGAAAGACAACAACACAGCCAAAGGAGGACTACGTTGCGTGAGGATTGAGGTCGAGCCGTGCCCAGTGGTGGTTGCAGAGAGTGACTTTGAGACTGATGCTTTGCAGTGTTGATTGAGCTTTAGCGGTGCTGATTAGTCAGGAAACCCTACCCCGGAGAAAATATCTAGATGAGCCTCCCTCCCCCAAACACACTACCGTCCACCTTCTCACATCGCAAGCAATCAACACAGCTAACTCCAAGACTTCGACTAGATGCCATCAGCATGCTCCCAAGGCGTGTGATTTCCTCTGCTATTCTTACCTATGATCTCGAAATACCATTACAGCGCTCTATTTGTAATTAAACCCATTATTGCTGCAACTCCTCCCGCTCTATCAATGAACAGGAAAAGCATATGATGGCGCATAGAAACGTGGAAGAGTAGAGCCGTCTATTTTCCCAAGATGTCCAGAATGATCCCTGCTGCCTTCTCCCTCCCAGCATTCTCAGGATGCTTCGCTCCAACTATACGCGCCTTCTCACGGAACGCCTCCCGCTCGCTCACCAGCACCCTCTTCAGCGCACTGCCGAGCTCGACCCTCTCCCACCGCGGCGCGGCGCCCTTGTTGGCCCACACCCCGACCCCGTTCAGCTCGACCCGGTTTCCAAAGTCGTAGCAGTCGATCCAGCCCGGAACCAGCACCTGCGGCACCCCTGCGGCGATGGCCTCGTGGTGCGAGTTGGCCCCGCCGTGGTGCACCGAGCACGCGATATGGCCGGACTGGAGCACCGCGCACGGGTCTGCCTCGACCCAAGGCGTGATGCGCACCCGATCTGTCGATATCTCCGGGCTTAGTGTCTCGTAGACAGCCTTCCAGTCGCCGTCCCACGAGGACTGGTCGCTGGCATCCTTCCGCTTCAACTTCCACAGGACCTGCAGCTTGCCCTTCTCAGGCGCGTGCTCTTCCGCAGCGTCGAGCAGGTCCCGCAGCGCAAGCGCAAACTCCAGTGCCTCACCCGGCTTGACCGCGAACTGTGTGCCCAAGTTGACATAAACCGTCGGGCCCTTAGCAAGCCACCTCTCGAGCGCAGGGTCGACCTCAGCCAGCCTCCTCGACGGCCGCACGATGGGCCCACACGGCGTGACGTGGGCCGGCAGCACGGAGAAGGGGTAGTCGAGGTCCTCGCTCATGGCGCAGAGCAGGCGCACCCCGGGCGGCGGCGCCTTGACGACGCCCAGCTCCGCGAGCGTCAGCAGCTCCAGATCGTCCTTGCCCGTCTGCTCGCGCAGCAGCCGTACCGCCTCTTTCATTCGCGTGTCCGTAAGCATCGTAAACGCCAGCACCATCAACAGGCCCGCGTTCATGGGCACCTGGTGCCACGGCACCGGGTACGGCAGGGCTGAGCCGATCACGGGGTACTTCCACAACGCCGCGGCGTACGGCTGCAGCGGCACCGCAAAGTCCTTGATCGTGTTGGGTGCGAGGACGGTCCACTTCAGCCCCAGGTTGAACGCCGCCGTCAGGGCTGGCACGTGCAGCGGGTCCACGACCGTCAAGTCCGGTCCGACTGACTTGATGATCTCCACTATCTGCGAGTAGATGTCGGCGACCTCAGCCGGCTCCCATGGCATTGCGCCATATGAAAACTGTCGCATAAACTTCGCGGCGTTGGCGAAGTTGGGCAGTGGCAGCTCCCACGCCTGCGCGATGCCTGCCTCGGGCCGCATCATGGCCTGGAACTGTGAGATGCCCTCGAAGGCATGGAAGTGGATCTTGTGCGGCGCCGTCGCCGGGAGCGTCTTGTCCGCCAGGCGTATTGCGTTCTGCACCTCGGACTCCATGCGCTTCTCCGAGCCGATGTGAAGCTGGACGGGCGCCCCTGTCGCGAGGATTGCGTACGCCGTCGCCAAGATCACGTTGGCTTGGCCGTAGTCGCTCGAGCAGAGGAACAGGATCTTCTTCGGGGCTGCCATCTTGTCGGGTTTTCCAGCGTGATCTCCCAAAGGTGACTGTTACTACCCTAGAAGGTAGATTGATCAAGTGCGAAGAACCCAAAGGAATGGGTCGTCGTCTTCAATCTGGGGTTGGTCACATATGTGGTTGTCGTGGACCCCTGCTTATCTTCCTTCATACGTACCCCTGGACCATGCGTGTTGGTTACATTGAGTGGGCCCGGCCAATACCCCCGGAGGTTTTAAAATTGCGATGGGAAAGGATTCAGCATCGAAGAAGCAGTTCATGTTGCTGCATAGTTTTGTCATGGGGCTGAGTCGTGGTAGATGGCAGGAAGGACCTGACTGCACCAGTATGATTGGAATCTGGGTATTAAAAGCGAATTACAGACTTTTTACGATCGTCAGAATTCCTTTATTCATCATGAGTTCATCATTACTTTTTCTAATTATTGTCCCTCGGTAAATTCAATAGTCATAGTCCGAGTCAGGTTTGGATCTAGCCAAGAAGTTTGAGGCCTGGATACCAATCCTTCCAAGTTATGCACTAGAATGGCTTAGGTGTAAATAACATGGACCTCAATCAGCAACTTGATCGATATTTAGCTGCAACGTAAGAGCCATGAGGAGAGGCAATTTGGAGTTTATGCGCTGCCAGTGCCCACGCTTTCCTCAAAGTCTTCATGGACGAAGTATATGTTATACCGGAGTACAGATCGAGTGGAAAACTCCTGCGTGGCCCAAATACTACATGACCCAATGCTGTCCTTGTTTGAGATATCTGATAGGTCCCAGGATTCCAGTTATGCGATGTGAAAAGCTTCACTTGCCGTGTGAATTACACGACTCTCAATGTCATCACCGCGGTGTAGAGGCAGTGATAGAACCGTGTCGTTTTGATTACTAAATTAAACAGTAAAAACAATAGTAGAAATTAGCAGTGTATTATATCGATTTACATTGAAAGTGTTGGGAAAACCATCGCAGTTGGCTATTAAGGAGGTTTTGTACCCCATAGGCATTGCCTGTGAAATTGAATGAGCCCTCATAGTCCACGAAACTGGCCCGGAGTTTTTCAGTCAATGATCATCGTGGTTCAGAGACGTCTGTAAAGCGCTTAGTGCTACCATTCTCTTTCAAACAGGCGTAGAACAGCATGCCATATCTGCACTGCAGGTACAACCAACCTGCATTAGTCTGTAAAAGGTTTCAGTCAGAAGGAACTCAAACCTTTACAGATAAATGCTACTTCGGTAATGTCAAAGGTGCTTTAATTTGAGATTCGTCGGCGAGTGTAAAGTATGGCATCATTTGAAGTGAAAAACAGCTAGAGTCTCTGGGAAGCTTAGTCTGCGAGAGAGAGACTTGCTCTTAGTCACTCCAAATGCACATTCCCATCCAGTCGTGATGGAATGAGTCCTAATGCATCAAGATTTTGACAAATATAATGATATGTGTTTGCCTCGCTAGCATGAGTGAGTTGGGGAGTGATTTGGAGAGTGAGTTGTTTAGGGGTGACGAGTTTGGAGTGCAAGAGGGAGATTTTCCTGTGTATAGAAAACAAAGTAAGTGGTGAACTTTAGAAACATAGAAATGAATCTAGAGAACGAAAACAGTAGAGAAAGAAGAAGTTTGGGCACGGTAAAATGTTGGGATACAAGGTCTCGGGCTAAATCAGGACGAGGTTCATGGGGCCAAAAATAAGAGAAGTACCATGACTAGAGTCCAACTTGCAGTGTCATCTCAAGAACCCTTTCTAATAATGTTTACAAGCGAGGCAATTGTCAGGTCTAAGGGGAATATCATCAGTCGCCCAGACAAGCTACGGGATAAAACGCGTGCGGCTTTACCGTAGCTGGTAGCGTGATCCTACCGGAAAGGCTCCAGTGGCTCCATCATCGTACCATCCAGACCACCCGGAGACACAGGCCACACAGCATCTAGATCTAGACCAACTGGACCCGCGAGAAGTCAAAACGTGCCTTGCATATAGGCAGAAAAGTTCTGGGGAGAATCCTGCTCACCTGATAGGTGGAAAATTGGCCGTCCTCTCCTGGATTGAGACTCGTCACTTTTCCGGCTCCGGACAACGAGAACAACGTGACAAGACACTTCGCAAAGATGATTGTATCGTCGGGTTCGTCCAGAACGTCCTGTCACGCGTGGGATGGGTAACGGGTGGCCAGATGCGATATCATGACCTCGCCGGCGCAACGGATGCGTTGGCCACAGCCACACATGCAGCTGAAGATGGAATACTTATAGTAGAGCATCATCTCGCAAATCAACAATGCAAGATACCCCAGACTCTCCAGGAATCAAAACAACAAAACCAGTGATATAGATTCGACACAGCCTCTCACATAATGTCGGCTACCACGCAAATCTCCTCCGACATCCATTCGGCCGCAGGCGCCAGCCTCACGCTGACAGGCGCTGGCGATGTAAAACCAATGAAGCCCCTGACCAGGGACGAGGCCATAGGCTTCGAGGCCGACTCACCCGAAACATGGACCGAGATGCACAAGCGCGTACACAAGCTCAAGCCTCAGGGCGACTACGATGTCGACATGCAGATCCTCGCCTGCGGCGTGTGCGGCAGCGACGTACATACTCTCTGCGGCGGCTGGGGCGATCAGCACTACCCTCTCTGTGTCGGCCATGGTTAGTCCTCACAATTTCACTTCTTGGCCATCATGGTCTCCTTTTCAACTGCCATGTACCAAACCCTCAGTCCCAATGCTAACAACAAACCCACCGCACAGAGATCATCGGCCTCGTCACCCGAGTCGGCCCAAAAGTAACCCTCCACAAGCCCGGCGACCGCGTCGGCGTGGGCGCATCCTCATGGGCATGCCTCGAGTGCCGCAATTGCAAGAAGGACAACGAGCAGTACTGCGCGCACCAGCTGGACACGTACGGCGCCAAGTGGCCCGACACGGGCTACGTGACCAAGGGCGGCTACTCGTCGCACATCCGCATCCACGAGCACTACTGCTTCCCCGTCCCCGCGAACCTGCCCACCAACGTCGCGGCGCCCATGATGTGCGCGGGCCTGACCGTGTACTCGCCGCTGAAGCGCAACGGCTGCGGGCCCGGCCGCAAGGTCGGCATCGTGGGCGTCGGCGGCCTGGGCCACCTGGCCGTCATGTTCGCCAAGGCGATGGGCGCCGACGAGGTCTGGGCCTTCATGCTGGACCACAGCCTGGACGAGGACGCACGCCAGCTGGGCGCCACGGGTGTGATTGTCATGTCGGATCCGGGGGTTCAGGAGGAGCACCGCCACACCTTCGACCTGATCCTCAACAGCGCCAGCTCCAGCGTCAACTGCGCGCCCTTCCTGCCGCTGCTGGACGTTCACGGTCGCTGGATCAGTGTCAGCATGCCGGCCAAGAACGACAAGGGAACCGAGGTGTCGACGTGGACGCAGATCGAGAACGGGTGCCTGATTGGCGCGTCGCACCTCGGCTCGCGCAAGGAGGCGCTCGAGATGCTGCAGATTGCGGCTGACAAGGGCGTCCGGACGTGGATCGAGGAGATTGACATCAGCAAGGACGGGCTGAAGACGGCGTTGGAGAGGTGTCGCAAGAGTGATGTGAGGTATCGCTTTGTTTTGACGGGCTTTGACAAGGAGTTTGGTGAGGACATTAAGGATCGCGAGACTTGATGGGTTGAGTGGGAGTTAGTGGATTGGCGTACGGGTCAACTTCAATAAGGAAATGGAAATCCGAGTAATGAATAATAAACAATAAACATCTCTGACAAGACATCATTTGTTTTCGAGACGAGCTTGCATTTGCCCATAGGAGGGGAATTAGTCGGTTGAAGATAGAAGGAGAAATGAGGCGAAAATTGAAAAAGTAAGAGCAGCGTCTCGGTATCATCCAAGCTTGGAGTTCACAATCCAAGCAAGCATGGCCGTGACCACGGAGCAATACCTCCACTACGAAGGTAACAAATTGCAAGGGAGATGCCCCTTATGTGCTCTCAATCAGAGTTTGCACCCAAAGGAGACGCATCAGAGAGGGAGAATAGAGAATTAGAGCGCTAAGGTGGACTGGATAAGAGGCAAAAACCCGCTGTCCGTCAATTCCGTGTTTTGGTCCGTCCATTCAGTTTTGTCTATCACATTGATAAATCATTCACCTCCAATCTCATCATCTTCATCGATCAGGCCACGCGCCACACAACTTCAAGTCGCAGGACCTATAAGCCTAAGGGGACGAAGAGGAGCTCTACTCCTCGGCGCCCTCCTCCTCGGCGGCGGGCTCCTCGACATCCTCTTCCTCATCCAGCGAGCCGGCCGGCACGTCGTACAGGCGCAGGATGCTCTTGTTAGGGTCCTTGACAAGGACGTACTTTGCGTCACCCTCGCCCGCCTTGAGCACCATGTCCGAGATGGTTCGCACGATACCCCAGCCGTTGGACAGCGACAGGTTCATCTGGTTGGCGAAGTCGCGTGGTTTCCACCCGATGACGCCCAGGATCACGTGCTTGTCGTTGGCCTTGGGGTTGACTCGGGAGACGAATCTGTGAGGGTTTGTGTTAGCAAAAGCTTGCGAGGGTGTGTCAAATGGAGTCTGCAAATGATTCACTCACCCAATCTTCATCTGGTCCGCCTTGGCCAGGATGCTCTGCACGGTCCACCGGGCAAGCTTGCACGAGTTGTTCTTCATCTCGGTGGCGACGACGGCACCACGTTGCGAGACAAGCTTAGAGCGCCAGTCCAGGGCGCCGCCGCTGCCCTGGGCCTTGCTGTCGAACTCGTTGAGAGCGTGCACGCGCAAGAACTGGTCGTCGCCGCTGATGGCGTTCTTCTGCACCGCGTCCAACTCCGTCCGCACCACCAAGTACACAGGCTCCTCATCGTTAATGCTGATGTCGAACTTGCGGTATCGGTACGCCTTGGACGCCGGGGGCTCCGTCTCCTCGGCCGCGTTGTAGAAGGGGTTGCCGTGCGCCATCTCAACCTTCTGCGACTCCAGCACGACCTGGTTGGCGAAGTTGTGGTTGATGTACGTGGCCTCCTCGGCCAATGCCGCTGGCTGGTTGATAACGTCCTTGGAGCCCTCAGACGCCTCGAGCGGCGCGTCGGCCGCGTTCTCGTTGACCGTGACCATGTCGAGAGCCGCGTTCTCGCGCTTATCAAGGAACACCTTGTTGCCCTGCTTGACGATGACAATGTCCCAGGGGTAGACGGATCGCGGCGCGCACATGAGCATGGATAGCACGCTGTCGGTAGCGAAGACGGTGGCCTCGTTCTTGTCCGCGAGCTCCTGGATAATGGGGTCGGACGACGTCGTGACGTTGTAGGCGGCGCGGTCGATGGGGCTGAGCTTCTTCTCGGCCGACTTGACGGGCTGCTTGTCGTAGGAACGATCGTAGTAGGAAACGAAACCGTAGCTGTCGATGTCCTCGCCCTCGTCGGCGTCGAGGTTGAGCTTGAGCAGCCTGTTGTAGTCGATCTCCTCGAGCAGCTTCCAGTCGGCACGGATGTTGATGGAGGCGTCACGGTTGCGCTGCGGCTTGTCGTAGTCCTTCCAGCCGAAGCGACGGCCACCGCCGCCACGACCGCCGGCGTTATTTCGTCCTCCGCGCCCACTGTCGTAGCCGCCCCGGCCACCGCCACGGTTGTTGAACTGTTGGCGTCCACCGCCGCGGCTGTCCTGTCCTCCTCGGGCACCGCCACGCTGGCCACGGCCGCCACGTGTGAAGACGGCGCCACGGCCGAACCGGGACTTGCCGCTGTCGCGGACGTTGGAGACGACGGAGAAGGAGGCTTCGTCTTGCTCGACTGCCGGTGCGGCGAAGAGGGAGGCACTTGCAGAGCCGTAGGTCTGTTGGTCTGGAGGGAGACGAGTTAGTGTCAGCGAGGTGGAGCTACGTGCAGTATGATATGGCAACCAGTGCGAGCTGATGCCACTTGGTGTTGTTGGGGGGCGCACCTCTGTAGTTCCTATTGTACTGGGCCCTTCCTCCGCGACCATCACGGCCATCCTTGCCATCAGCAGTCCAGTCAGCCATGCGACCCAGCTTGTCGCCCTTGGAGAAGGGGGCGTAGGGGACGCCATCGAGGGTGGTCTCGGTGGTGACTGGGGGTCCCCATCCGTCGCCGTCAGGCAGCGCCGCGATGAGGTCGGCGATCGATTGAGACATGGTAGGAAATGTGTACTGTCAAGCGATAGAAAAAGATACGATAACTGCTATCTGACCTGGATGATTTCTGGGTTGGGGAGATATGCCGTATCGTTGCTGTCGGTCGACTTTGCCGCCTCTTTTGCCGCCTTGGATGGTCAGTGAGTTTGTGCAAATTCGTCAAAAGCTGCAGAAATTCAATGTTTGGTGGGGTCCGGGCCTAGCGTAGCAGTCTTGGCGGGTCCCGACTATGGAAGGCGGCCAGGAGCTTACCCAGCTGCTCCCTCCTTCGGTCCTGATCCCCGCATGACTAGACGACCCTGCCAGCGCCCCCCCCCCAAAAGCCCCCCCTCCGCCTGGAATGGAAGCCCTTCCAGGGTTAGGTCTTCTGGGAAAGGCCTAAATATCACAAGTGCCACTTAGTCACCGTCGAGATCTAGTTTATCTGGTTCGCTTCAGTGAGAATGAAGATAAAGTCGTTCATGAGATTGCCACATTGGTACCATGACGGTTCATATGCCCACATCTCCAGGAGGCAGCCAGTGGCTCTTCACAATTAAGCGAAGCTTGAGACCCCGAGGTCTTGCGAAGAATGAACATGAATCGTCACCATTTTATTTGTCGATATCTCGTTGTTCCCTCAAGTTAGTTCTGCTCACGCCTACTCTATGTATGGGCATCCCCTGCACTTCTGAGGATATGTGCATTTCTTCCAGTGACGCAACTCTCTCTTGGCCCAACAGAGCCTGGAATTTGGGTCCTGTGGCTTCTTCCACACTTTCCATTTGTGTTCTTTTTCTTGCTCTAGAGACTCGATGTAGGTCTCTAAAACCTCAACGTAGTGCTTCCCAACTGTAGTCTTACGCAAAGGCACTGTTTGAAGCTCCTCTCGGAGCTGAACGATCATCTGGGTGCCTGACTTGATCGTGTCCCGCACTGACTTTGCTGCATCTTGGTGCGAGGTTAAAAACACTACTTCAGGTCCTGAGATATGCTCAACCCAGATTGAACGCATAGCGAGGATCTCTTGAAGATTGCGGCTGGACACCAAGAATTTGGACTCTCTAGGCTTGGGAGGCGTTCCCAAGATGCGACTCCATACTTGTAGATGAAGTCGATGTGTCTGTACTTCTTTCGGTGATTGGGAGTCGTCGACAAGGTAGACGAAACTTGACACTTTAATGTGACCTTCCCTGGCACAATGAATTTATCAGCGACTTTCTTCAATTATGCTACAGTTTTGACCCACATATTCCTGATTTCGTCCGCGATTTTTGCCAGTGTAAAACCATCCATCAGAACATCGTCGCAGAGACATGGGAGCCTCAGAAAATATGCCACAGAACCTCTGTAGAAGAAGTCGGCACTAGACTGGACACACCTTTCCTCGCTCAGGGAGTGTTGGCAAAGACCCTCCGGATTACAAATCCCAGTCACATAGTCAATAAACTGGCAGCGAGATAAGTCAGACCTGCAGAGGTATGGAGAGATTCACGTTGGAAAGTACTTCTCTTTTCCCGGAATTGACGAGCCCTCCAACACTGCTGAGATCAGTGAATGATTCTTACTGATGTGAGCTAAACAGGTACCTACAGTATAGCGGATTTCCTCGGGAGTTCTTTTTGTTGTGTGGCTTCTAGCTTTAGTAAGTTCTTCAGCATGGTGTCTCGATGATCGTGGTGGTTGATTGATGGGTTTCTTTTGACTATCTGGCAATGATTAAGCGTCTATTCGTACAATGAAAGTCTCAGTCTCATTTCTTTATGTTGGATCGAGCCCGTCAGTGTATGCTTGAAAGCGACGAGGCTCTGCCTTAAGTACTTAGTACCTACATGTATACTCCCCAGCCTCAGCTGAACCTCGGGTCCGGTATTTCTCTGTTCGGAGATCAGTGGGCGTTTTCGAGAAAAGTGGCGGACCTATCGTGACCTTGGAACTAGACATCTTGTGCTACCCAATCTGTCAAAGTCCACCCACCTCAGCTGAGTGGCGGCCTCTGGCAGTGCAAGCCGAGCCCCCCTTTCATGCAGGAGAGGCCGATGAGCCATCAAAAATATATATCAACACATTTTAGCTCTTTACTAGCTGCGAAGATGCACACCTGAATTTTTCTACCTAAATCATGCACGTAAGCGGAGCGCCACAGCCTATATTTAAGCTCTCGAGTCCGGTATTACAGCGCTGTAAACGACCCCCTATGTGTTCATTTTCTCTGTGCGCCATTTTATATCTCGGGTCTGAGAAAGCCACACATCGTTGACACAGTACCTTGAAAACGACGGGCGCTATGTGGAGCTTGAGTAACTTGTCAAAACTTATTTGACCTGAGCCCTCCACTGGATTTCATTCTTCCGTCTCCTCATTTCACACTTCTCTCCACATCAGGACGGCCGAGAGCAACCTTCGCCTCCGCCTTGAGCCTCAGATTTTCCAGTTCACTCCTTCGCTTCAGTGGAATACCAGAAAAAATGGAAGAGCCCCACGATACTCCCTGGGCTATGTGTCCAACAACTTTCCAAAGATCGATTCATCTGGTCCATACGCTTCCTTCCGCTAGTCATAGTAATGAGTACCCAAAAGTTCCCACTGATGCCCATTCTGATACGTCAGACGATGAGGTCAAGTACTTTGATAGTCTCGAGAGAGATATTCCCGGTGTTGAAAGCGATTTCTACAATGCCATTACCAATCCAACCTTAACAACAGCAAAGTGTGGACGGGTTGCAGTACTGCGCATGTCACATCCTACCTTTCCGGTTCAAGAGAGCGGGATAGATCTGATGCCGAGGAAGATCATCTGGCGAAACCCACGAGATACGTATTCAGACCCACAAAGCTCGACATCAGCGGCCGGTGCTTCAGCATCGCTGGAATTCCCGGAAGGACTCGTCTTCGAGGATCTGGAACTGTTCAAAAGGACCTTGGAAAAGTTCCCACACCGCTCTGAAAACGAAGCGGTGCATCGATTCTTCGACAAACAGCTGATCGTTCTAGAGAATCTGGGAAGGGACTGGGTCGAGACCGTTGGAAAGGCCTTCCGAGTACCTCCTCACGTGTTTGCTCATCACTGGGCTTCTCCAAGCCTTTGCAAACGTGGTAGAGCCCGTCTTCCACTTGGCCAGCCTGCCGAAGAACATTTTGTTCTGCCATATTCGGAGATACTGCCCTTTGAGCTCAAAGACAGTATGACACTTTTGTTTGGATATAACTCAAATACGCTTCATTGCTTCCTTTGGTTTGAGTCGTCTGTCTGACATTGTCATCACAGACAACGAATATTACAAACTTGATTGCTGCCAAATCAGATTTGTGAGTTCCGAGATGCAACAAGACCAGAAAGAAAATCTAGCGGACTACCTTGAAGACGAGGCTTCGAACGCAACTTGTGAAGGCGCCATCAGTTATTGGGGTCGCTTGGAAAGTCGAGAACAATGGACAGGTGAGCACTCACAAATACTGCATTCTATTAATCTGTGGATTGTACATTAATAGTGGTGTTGGTAAGCAATTTTGTTGGTAGACCCCCGATCGCGGTCAACTCAGCCTGGTCAACGAAACGAGTACGACATTGTGCGGGCGAATGCGCGAGGTGATACACTCGAGTCTCTGCGGCACAATAAAATCAGGAAAGGACGAGCGATGATTCCAAATCCCGTCCCTGCGTTACATATTCCTCGTGATGAGTCTACCTGGAGACCCGCAATCCTGGAGGCCGCGGTCGATGGCGACTCAGGATCAGCAATGTGGACACCAATCGGCTTTAACAATATATATGGCGAGACAAGTGTGAGATCGGAAACGCCGCCAATTCAACCGCGCCCTCTACGAACTGATGAGCTTCTTAGTGAAGCACCGCTAGATACGGACTTTGATTCATACAGGAGCAGTTTCCCAGCAACACCACGGACCCGGTCTCTACCCATGTTTGACCAAATCCTCCGGGCTCCTCCCCCAAGACCGAATTTTCATCCTGTTCACGCCACTAAGTTCGTGAGACGCCTTGTCTTGGCTAAGATGGCACCAATCGTAGATATCTATCTAAAACAGACATACTCACTCACGATCAAGGCAATGCAGAATATATCAAAGATAGCAGATTTCGACCCTCAGCGACTTGGTGAGAAGCCGTGGCAGGACGAGTGGAGGTCGGAGTTTTTCAATCGACTGTGGGAGCTCCGCGGAAATATAGAGCTCCTGGGCTTCGATATGGAAAGCACAATCCGTCTTTTCCAGGACCTCGCCGACGGAACGAGCTGGCCTGAAATGCTAAATCTTGACATGGCCGACGGTGGGAGGTGGCACGACGAGAGACGCTGGAAGCATAGACAAATTCGAGACCAGGACCTAGACGATCTTGAAGAGTGGAAACGTCTTGAGGCTACCAGGAAATATGCTGCCGGTTTTATCGAGCGCACCACAAATTCTTACCTCCAAGCTGCCACGGCGGAGGGGGCGAAATTTGCGAACCTTCAGGCAAAAAGGTATGTGCGAGACCATCCTTATTTACTATGGTTCTCTGATAGTAATAATACGCTGATGATCCCTCGCAGCTCCAAGAAAATAACGTTGTGAGTCTCGGGTGCTTCCTTTCCGCGCATGTATGTGATGTCATTTGCGACTATACTTACGGAATCTCTCCACTAGTCTTGCAACTCTTTTCGTACCGGCGAGCCTTTGTGCGGCTATACTGTGAGTTTGATCACTCACAGATGAGAGTTCTCTATTAAGCATGAGACGCCCGTCCTGACTGTGCCTGAAACAGTGCACTGCCCGGTTACTCTGGAGCTCAGGGTAGTACAAGATTCTGGTATGTATTGTATACTCTGGCCGTTGGCACAGACTCTTGGAGCTGATATATTGTCAGGCTGTTTTGGGTCGTGAGTGTGCCTATAGCAATTGTATTGGCAGCTACTCTGCTATACAAGGATATACGCACGTACATCAATGAACACATGCATCGGAAGAAGAGAGACCAATCATATAAGGAACCGGAAAGCCAATCCTACAGAGTACCGACAAGATTGAGCCTAAGCGATTACATGTTTTCTAGAAGAAGAAATGGTTGAGAATATGCTATCTGAAGGATTGTTCTCGAAAAAAAAAACAATTATTGCTTTGATTACCCAGAAGCCAATCGCAACAAATTCACAGCAAGTACAGAGCATTGAACGAAAGCCTCTATGTCAGAGTTTATATAACTACTAATTCTTATGCGTCTATCGAAATCTTGATTGGAACGAGACCTGGGCCCCGACGGCGTTACGCCTGAGAAGCTTCGATCAGACTATGCATCCTTTAGCGTAAGAAGAAGATTCCTTCGCCCCCTAGACATCGACATGTATGGCCCTGTTTGATCGAATGTAGACTTCAGCGGGTTTTTGAATACCGAATTCCGTTCAAATGCAGTGATTGTGCCCTAATCGTACTAGCGGCTAGGATGTGGGCGCAGCCAATGCACCCTGTACCTCACCAATGTATACGCAAGCTGACACAAAGCGGAATGTCGTCGCGAACACCGGCCCGATCTTGACTTTAGATGGCTGGCTCGTATCACTGAAAAGGATCGAAGCCGGCGAAATTTGTACGCGTTGAGTGCTTCTTGAATCAACTTACATTCATTCACCCTACACACAACACAAGCCTGCCGCGGTGACTCCGACATCCGATTCCGGTCGCAACAGAGACCCATGAAGCTTGTAATTGTTGGAGGCACAGGCCTGGTGGCCACAGAGCTCATCAGACAGAGTCTGGTCATGCCAGACTTCACTTCGGTTGTAGCTGTGGCCCGCAGACCAGTCGAGCTCGAATTCGATGCGGTCAACAGCTCGAAATTTAAGACCGTGGTGATCCAAGACTATGAGGGATATCCGGACGAGATTAGAAAGGAGTTATTTGAAGCGGATGCCTGCATCTGGTGAGTGTCGTGATTTCATCTTTTCGAAGAGAACGCAGTGTTAAACAGAGTACTCTGGCAGGACTGTGGCAATCACACCATTCAGATCGTTTAATTTTGACTTTTCTGAGGTTAAGCGTGTCTGTCAAGACTGCACCATAGCGGGGTTGAAAGCAACATGCGAGGCTAATGTTGCTTCACCGAGACCCGTAGTCTTTATTTATATGAGCGCAGAGGGAACCCTAACAGATCTCTCCAAGAAGCCTTTCATTCTAGGGGACTATCGGATCATGCGGGTATGTGAGGGGACTGCGACATTTATACAAGCGCGGGCGGCATCCACGAAATCACTGACATTAATCTAAATAGGGAATGACGGAGAAGCTCGTGCAAGAATTCGGTAAAGAGCATAGGGAGGTGGATATCCATATCGTCCGGCCTGGAATGGTCTGGTCTTCCACTACATTTTGGAGAAGTGCGCAGGCGAACACGTTTCGGGCCATCAACTTGCTGTCGCGAGGTATCCCTAATATTAGTCTGACTGAGCTTTCTGCGGCGATTTTGGAGCAGACCGTGGGTGGCTTTGAGAAGGAGGCTCTGTCGAACGCTGACCTAGTTCGCATCGGAGGCCAGGCCCTGAAAAGGAAAGCGAGGCCCTAGACAGAACTTGAATTAGACAGCTCGGTGCACATCCCTCGTCGGATTTAGCTACCTATCCACAGAGTGCCGAGATTTATTTGCTATAAGGGCGATCTCTCGTATGGATTGCTCTAGAAAACCATTCACTGTTCTTGCCCCAACACTCGATCTACTATTCAAGAGTAGGATGGGATAGAATGGTGCAGACATTTGAATGGTCATTATTTCGAGGTACAAGCTTTATAAACTCTGACTAAATGACCTCACTAATCTGTGAAACAGGTGGTAAAATGATTTGTCAAGTCAACACATTAGTTTCAAAACCAGTCTCAATCTGCTTCTAAAGTTGGTCGTCTTGTCTCTGGGTTTTCCAACGCGCCTTTGGTTAATTCAGAAGCTTTCAACCTGGTTGCAAGTGTCTTAATATACTGAAAAAGGGTGCTCCGCAGCCGGTATCCCCGCGTCACGAGGCACACTCCTTGGTGACCTCTGAACGCAGATTCGATGTGAGGAAGGCAACTATTATTTCTGGTGTCTAATCTAATACTGCTTTGCATCTATGCTCTTGGTCAAGAGATTTCGCTGAGAGAACTCCTGACTGAAGGGATAATCAATATAACCACTCTTGGTCTTGGGCGCGTAGAAAGTTTCCCGATGGTAGGGACTTGGCATCAGACCCTCTCGGATTCTGAAAGGAAGGTCGGGCGTAGAGATGAAATATCTCCCGAACATGACGACGATGTCTTTTTCCGGAAAATCCTGCTCGACCACCTGCCTCGCCAATTCCGGCGTGAAGCCACCAGCGACCAGTACGGGCCCGTCGAACTGCTTGAAAGCAAAAGAAAGGCTTTCTGAGCCCACAGCGTCCACATTCCCGGCTACTCTCGACTCAATTAGGTGGACGTATGCGATCCCCAGCTTGTCAATCTTCCGAATGACGTCCGTAAACTGCGGTACGGGATCGGCCATCCTCATGTTGTTGTAGGTACTCCACGGGCTTAAGCGGACCCCAGTCCTCTCCGGCCCGATGGCGTCACTCACAGCCCTCACAGCTTCGACGGCAAAGCGGGAGCGGTTTTCCACGCTGCCCCCGTACGCGTCCTCCCGGTTGTTGGTGCTGTCGGAGAGGAACTGGTCAATCAGGTACCCGTTGGCTCCGTGCAGCTCGACGCCATCGAAACCGGCAGCAATGGCATTCTTTGCGGCTGTAGCGTAGTTGCGGACCCTGTCCTGAATCTCGTCGGTGCTCAGTGGAGTGGGGCGTCGCTCCTCGTCCAGTCCGATTGTGCCCGAGCTGACTATTTTGATTCCCTCGCGGGCGGCGACGTCGGCATAGACGTCGCGACCGAGAGCCCAGAGTTGACAGAAAATGTAGCTACCTTTGGCATGGACAATGTCTGTAATCTCCTTCCAAGCGTCGATCTGTCTCTGATTATAGATCCCGGGGGCGTTGGCGTGGCCACCATCCTCGGGGGAGATGAGCACACCCTCAGTGATCAGTAGAGTACCAGGGACCGAAGCTCTCTGTCCGTAATATTCTTTCACGAATTCCAGAGGGACGTGGTCATCCGATGCTCGATAGCGAGTCAAGGGACTTAGGCCCACGCGGTGGGACAAGGTCAATTTTCCAATCTTGAGTGGCTCGAAGAGACGAGAAGAAGTCATTGTAACTAATTAGCAAGATGTATGACGTAAAGTTTTCCCGATGTTACTTGGAGACGACTTGTTACTAGCCATATTCAAGGGGTTCATAATTATCAGTTCTGTTTGCGTACCGTGTAAGTATATAAATACTCTTGGGCTATTTGGAACTGACATTTCATCCGCATTCATCAGCGAGAGCGCAGATTTCAACGGGCAGCAACTCGATTCTAGAAGTGATGAATTGTCAGCTCAACTCTCAATCCCGACTTGGGCCGCCTTGGCGAATATGTTCTTGCTGCAATTCTTTCTCGTTCTAGACTAAATCTCAACAATTCTTCCGAGGGGTTCAGATACCAAGACGTCCTCTTTTAACGTATCCTCGTTGTAGCAAGACGATAAGACACTGTCCAACGTACCACTTGTGCATGATTGAACTTATCTGATCTAGAAAAGAAACGAAATCACATCACACCCATCGGGTGTGCAAGGGAACGCTTACTCATAGCCCTGCTACGCATCTTGGTAATCAATGTTTAGTGATCAATTCCCAACCACATCACATCCGACTTGGAAAGCAAGCCCCTTATCGCGTGGTTTTGCTCATCTAAAACTTCACATCATAGACTGGACGATAAAAAGCAGGAGTGCTTGTGGGGTGTAATACTCGATTACTGAACGCCGTGCTGAGTGTTATCGCCTAACCGCGAATGCCCACTCAGTTGAGCCTCGTCGCGATTTGGAACACGGCACGCGACATAACAACTCGATTTTGAGCTACTGAATGTTGCTACAATAAGACGCGATTTCATATAAAAGTGATTGTTTAAGAACACTGAACAACAACCAACAGCTCTCGTATTCACAATTATCTCCCCTTTCAAACGCCATCTAGAAGACTATCAAACAGTGCACAATTATTGAACCACACTTTCACCGAACATGTCTTCCTCTTTCCAGAACATCGTCATTATCGGCGCCTCGGGCGCCATAGGTAGCATAATACTCGAAGCTTTCCTCAAAACTCCTTCTGTGACAATCACAATCCTTCAACGCGTCTCCACCACCAGAACCGTCTTTCCCCCGTCAGCTCGCGTCATAACCATCCCGGACGACTACCCCCACGACTCACTTGTCGCCGCCTTCGCAAACCAAGACGCAGTGATCAACTGCGTTACAACCCTCGCTGCGCACACTCAAGTCCGGATCATCTCCGCCGCCGTCGAGGCCGGCGTCCGGCGCTTCATTCCTTCCGAGTACGGGCTCAACAACAACAACCCGGCCGCCCGCGCACTTTGCCCCGTCTTTCGCGAGAAGGGTGAGGTGCAGGACTACCTCCGCACCCTGGAGCACCGCATGGAATGGATGGCCGTCGCGAACGGCATGTGGCTCAAATGGAGTGCCACACATGAATTCCTTGGCATGCACATCGCCGCGAGGAAGTTCGTCCTTTGGGATGATGGCGAGGGCTTGTTCAGCACGACGACTGAGGAGAACACAGCCCTTGCGGTCGTGAACGCACTGACCAACAAATGGGAGGAGACGGCGAACAAGGTCGTCTGGTTGAGCGATTTTGCTGTGTCTCAGAAGCAGTTGCTGGAAGCGGTTGAGCGATTCATGGGGGAGAAGTTCGAGACAGAGTTCATTGACTCGAAGTCATTTATACGGGAGAAGCAGGCAGCTGCCGCGGCTGGGGATGGTGGGGCCACGTATGCACTGATCGAGACAGGGTTCGTTATGGGAAAATACGGGGGCCATCTGGAGAAAGAGGGCGATATCATGAATGAGCTGCTGGAAATTCCAAAGCGGTCACTTGATGAGGTTGTGAAGGCTGCTGTTGAGGCGGTGAAGACGTCATGAAGACCAGTTGACGGTGCTCAGGATGTTTCACGACTTAGACTTTGATGTCAATCTCTGACATTCTCTCTTTGTACACCAACTAACACCTTCGGTGAAAATTTCAGTCGATGGGCTTGAAGTTGCGTCTCAGACAGTCTAAAGTATCATTTTTTATTATTCAAACTGAAGTATATTTTATATATTAATATTTTCAAAATAGCTTACGTGTTATGCAGTGGCAGGGATCAGACCAGGCACCAGTTCCCCGTGTGGTATAAAGTTCGAGCCCCATCACTCCTGCTTTTCGTCTCCTTTTGGCTAGAACTACCGATTACACGCAGTCTCTCTACGTCAACCACCGCTCAACCTAAAGCCCCCCAGCAACACGATATGAGCGTCGTGACCGTCCTACGCGGCTTTAAGGTCCCGCTCCCGGTACTCGACGCCTTCCTACTCGCCAACAATATCAACGAGTCCGAGGTTCTCTGTTCGGGCTTTCCACCCTTCTACGACGAGGATACTGACCAGGTCACCACCCTCCTGCGTAATAAGGTCGGCAGCGGAGACGTCAAGACACGCGTTTTCGTCCCGGCACGAATGAGCTACAAGAGGGCGGCCAGCGGCTACATTGCCTACGACTGGACAGTTGTCTTTGCACAGCGCAGATTTGATGCTGGGGACCTCGCAGAGCACCCGCCCGGTAAGCATCACTTTTCTCCTGTAACGGATCTCCATCTTTCATGTTCTGGAATCTTCTAGAATGCAACACTTTAGCATCGGTAGCAGGACTAACGTCACCATCAGTGGGCTTTGAGGAGCTGAGGAAGGAAGTGCTGTCGTACGCCACCGCCGGCGACGGGGCTGAGTCTCTTGCCGACGATTCGCGATACCAGAATGCCCTCTATATCGTCATCACTGACGAGCGGACATATATCCCGCCTGAAATGCTGCAGCGGGATGAAGCTGTAAGTTGTTAACTCGGCTTAGAGAAGCCTCACATCAAGAACACTCGCCCTACTCTTCTCACCTAAGCCCCTTTTCCGGCTCCAGCTCCTCGTCTCAATTTACTGACTCGTTGGTATCTTCACAGGATATATTTACGCTACCGGAGAATCTGTAACAGTAACTAGCAGCTTGTTCGCCTTACTTTTTGAGACTTCTGCTGACAGAAGTAGTCGTTTGTTTCTTGCTTACTTAATTGATATGGAAATTTGTTTTGGACGGTAAGGGCTCCCAAGTTCGTTCTTATGAGCTACCAAATGTATATTCTGCAGAATGACACGAAATTGCTGACGCACTCGCCATACTTGAGTTGGGAATCGCAGTGGCGGATCTTCATTGAACCAAAGTCTTTTAGCGGAGCTTCCAGCGAGCAGCATATTAGAGAGCACAATGCACTCAGGGGCCATACCGAGCACGCTGACGCACACTAGCACCTCAAGTATAAAGTGTTGCCAGCACAAAATCATTTCATGCCTTATGAAGTACGGATATTGTCAAGCGTGGTGTAATCCAATATGACTTCGCTACCACTAGTTAGAGACAGACAACACCTCACCGATAATACAATTCATGAGACAGTGTTGTCCGAGATGGTATGCATTTAGTATCTATATAATGTATTCCCATCAGGTATCCAAACAAATAAACAAACAACTAGTTTTTTGTCCACAAAACTTATGCAATCAACCAGTCTTCTCCGTGCTGCTGCCATCGGCGCTGTCCCCACGGAGCTTCTCATCGACCCTCTCGCTGGTGGCGAACACACCGTTGCCCTCGCCCGCGCCGTTGACGACGGCGGCGCCGTCGCGCGAGCTGGTGCGCTGGAAGTAGGCGTGGGCCTCGTCGGAGAACTCGTCGTCGGCCAGGACCTGCTCGCCCTTCATCTCCTTCTCGCGCTTCTCGGCCTCCTGCGCCTCCCAGTCGCGGCGCAGGTCCTCGATCTTCTGCTTCAGGTCCAGCTCCGGGTTGTAGTGCTTGCCGACGCCCATCCAGCGCTCCCACATGCTGAGGTGGTTGGGGTGCACCGCGATGCCGTGGTATTCGTGCTCGCGGCCCTCGAGGATGTACCGCCACCGGCGCTCCTGCTCTTTCAGGTCCAGACCCGTCGTGTCGGGCAGCCACAGCCACGTCATGACCATGCCCGCCAGTCCGAACCAGGGCACTACGTAGAAGCGCATCTGTGTGTCGATGTAGTTATATAGCACTGATGCCAGTAGCGCACCGGCCTTGCCCATGCAAGCCGAGAAGCCGTGAGCTGACGCGCGCACGGGTGTCGGGAAGACTTCAGCGGCCACAAGGAAAGTCACGGCGTTGGGGCCAAATTGGTTGAAGAATGACGACAGGTAGTACATGGCCTGGAAGGAGTGGATGCCCGCGGGCGAGGTGTAGTAGTCGAGCTTGAAGGCCGGGATGACGAAGGTCAGGAAGCACACCAAGAAGCCGATCTGCTGCATGTTCTTGCGGCCGTATAGCTTGTTGTCGATCAGGAACGAAGCCAAGTAGTAGCCGGCCAGCGCGACAATAATGTTGTACAGGTTCCAGATCCAGTTGGTCATAACCGACTTGGAGTTGTCGCTGATGACCTCGATGAACTGCGCCTGGAATAGCTTGTTGCCGTAGAAGAACACGTCGTTGCAGAACCAGCCACCCGCCGTGGCCAGCAGTCGTCCGCCAAAGTACTTGAAGGTCAGGCGCAGCGAGTTGACGTCGTAGCCTGTAACCTTATTCTTCTTCTTGGCGATCTGCAGCTGCCGCGAGGCCTGGGGCATCTTGTAGGCACGGTAGTAGGCGAGCCAGAGGGTTCCGACGGCGGGAATAGCGAAGGACAGGCGGAAGACGACCTGGGTGGTCTGGGCGCCGTATGGGCCGTCGCCCTGGCCGTGGTGGAAGATGAGCAGCAAGACGATCAGCAGGGCCTGGTTGGCAAGCTGGCCCCAACCCTGCATCAGGAAAGCGGTGGTGACCTTGCGGCCACGGTGCAGACGGTCCTCGCGGGTTGAGACCTTGCCGGCTCCCACGGCGTTTTCCATAGACGATGTCGCAGTCATGGGATACTCGCCACCAACACCGAAGCTGTACACGAAGAGGGACCAGGCGTAGCAAATAACCCAGCCCTCGAGGGTGGTGCCCCAGGAGGCTGTGAGCATAATGAGACCGAGAACCATAATGAGCGCATCCTGAATGAGACCGAATCGTCGACCGACCCAGTCACCAATAATCTGTAGACCATAAGGTTAGCTGCGCTGTTGCATTTTCAAGTGCGGAAGAGGGGTGTTTTCCGGGTACTTACACCGACAGCAACCTGACCAACCATGATACCGACAACCTCGAGGTAGGTGACGGCAGCGATCCAGTTCACAGAGCACTCGCCGTCGGTCGTCTTGCTACCCCAGCACGCCTTCCAGCCATCCGTAGCAGCAAAGTAGCTGCTCAGGTTTCCGATCGAGAAAAGCACGTAGCCTTCAAGACCGAGACCGGCACCAGGCAAGATCGCGTTGTGCCAGTACCAGCTCAGAGGGCTCAGGGGGTCCTTCTTCATCATGGCGCCGATCTGACCCAGCTCCTTCTTAGCCTCGGCATTGTCGACGGAGGTGACGAATTTGATGCGCTTGGACAATGGCAGGTCAGCCCAGTAGACGCCCTCCGGTGTGTAGCTGTCGTCCGGGTGTGTGATGTAATTGAAGATCTGGCGCTCCTCCTCGGAGGTGACGCCGGCGTGAGGTGGGTAGGTGTAGGCCTCATCGCCGGTTTCCGGTCCGTGAGGCACGGGTATTTGCCCGGTGGACGGGTTGTGGTGTTTTTCGTGGGCGAGGAAGTTCGACATGTTGGCGGTTGGTGGAGGGTTAGGGGAGGGAATGAATTTGGAGGGGTTGGAGGGGTTTCCAAGGATGCACCCTCCTGGCTGCTACTCCCTGCGACACTGGTGTCTGTGCCGAGACGGCGTGAAGGCTTTGGGAAGAAGAGCCTGAGTCGAAGGTGGGCGAGAGAAGCCTCAGAGGGGGAGTTGGGGTCTTGACTGCAGAGCTCGAGGGGAGAACCAACTGCAGAGCAGACGGAGGGAAGAGATGGGAGGTTTTTAAGAAAGACGGGCGGAGGCCCTGGCTCTGGACGAGGCGGCAGGGTGGCACCTCGGAGGTGTGCAATCCAGGATCAGGATTGCCTGGACGGGATAGGATAGGGCGACGACAGGATACGGTGCGATGCTGCTCGATTGAACCCTGCAAAATAGTTCGAGAAAAGGTTCACTGTGTAGGGGACCCCACCAGCAGGCACAAGGGGGCCCACAAAATAGGTTTGAAAACTGGAGCGTCGCGTTGGATCGTGGGCCAGATGCTGCACCGAGCGGAAGCGAGACCAGCTGCTGCGCGGAGGCAAAATGGAGCCGTGCAGACCGAGGGGAGGGACCAAAATGTGGGCGATTACGAGCAGGAACGAGGATGATGAGGAGGTGTCGCTGTCGCTGTCACAGAGAGTTTTTAAAATCTGACCGACAAAATCGTGCATTTTTCTGGAATTTTCAATGGACGAGCGCCCAGTCCCTCATGACCATGACCATGACGGACAGACGGACCAGCGCGACCAGGACTCGGGTAGGCTAACGGTAGAGCCAGAGAGCTAAGCAAAGTTGGAGGTTAATGAAAAAAATCGCAGTCAAGTCGGCACACGGCTTGTTTCTGCCAAGGGTTTGGCGCCGAAAGCTTGATGCCGACGGTGCGGCAGCAACGGGTTGCTGATGGCTGATGTCACTCTGGCTCGGTGTCTCTTTCTGGTCAGCCGCTCACACTCTGATTTCTGAGCTGTGAACTCAGAACTCATCACTCTGAACCCACGACACCACCAACGGATGAAGCGAGCATTCGATGATGAGTGGGCTTGCTCGAGGATCGGCCCATCTCGATCCACGCCACGAGCATTGGATTCAATGCTATTCAAGTCAATGTCATAGTCTATGTGTCGACTGCCTGAATGCTATGCTTTGTGCTATGCGATGTCGCGACGACGAGTGGTCCTGTCGTCGAGACACGCCTCTCATCAACGACATCTCAGTGGACAGAAGACAATTGACCATGACATAGAAGGCTGTCTATATGCTAGGTGATCTGCCCTGGGTAAAACGCCTCCTTTCGCACAGGGTCGTCGAGTCCCATCTGATCCAGTAACCCTGATCCCTCCCCCCATCCCCATCCCAATTCCATATCCATCCGTCCCGGAGTCGTGGTAAAGCGTGGGTGGCACGTACTAATAATAATGCTAGCACATGTGGACTTGACTTGCATGAGCACAAAACACAAGCACCCGCACTCGCACACACCTGATCGAGTCCTGATTCATGGACAATTGAATTGTTTCTAAACTCGGCCAGTCCTGTATCATTGTCGTGCAAGGGAATTGTTCTGTCTTTCCATCCCACAGCGGGGGGGAACGAGAGACATCTACCGTCAACATACGAGAACAGATTGAGCCGAGGCCATGCGACCTGTTTCCTGTATCGCATCCCACATGGCTTGGCTGCATTTTGTCTCTCGTACAGATTTGCAGAATGTATTGACACTCGGTATCGAGATCGCATCATGACCGATCCACGGCACACAACCTTATCGACATCTGGCCACTACACCACCACAGTGCAACATACAATGCCACAGTGTGTACGTGTGTGTGTGTCTCCCCTTCTCGACTCGACCTGACTTGAGGTCAGCACGGTAAAGTGCTCCAGGCGAAAAGGTACGTACACGCGGCTGCTTCTGGGTGCAGCTGCAGCCCCACCCAATCTCTTCAACAGGGCCCCCCTGCAAACCGCCTGCGCCTTTCTGCAACCAGCCTTCCAGCCTGCGCCTGCACCTGCACCTCTGCACCTCCCGTCCGCCGCCCTGCCGTTTCCTCGCCCCTCGTCCCTGCCCCCCTGCTCTTTGCCCAGCATGCCAGCTGGCTCCTTCCCTCTTTCGGCGGGCTCAGGTGGGGGATCGCCCAGGCGCGCATTGACCAATCACAAACCTTAATCGACCACACGTGCGTGGTTGACAGGACGTCCGAGCTCCAAATCTCCTACGGCACAACTTTCTGACTTGACGACACCTCGTCCCTTCCCCGGCTTTACTGCTGGTAGGGCGGCGGCCCCCTCCCCCCTGGTGCGACGACGCGACGCACACCCAGCCCGCCCAACCCAACCGCATCCTTCCCTCCGCGGGCATACCAGAGCGCCCATGCATCCAATGGACCTGGCTGGGCTGGTTTCTCTCGGCTTTAAGGCGGCCTGGAGGTGCTGCAACGGCGAACCCGCGCTGCGCGAGGAACACGGGAATCTGACATGTTGCTTCCGCGGAGAGGGTGGAATGGCGCGAGATGGAGGCACGCGAGGCACGATACTTGCATCGAGGCGAGCTTTGGATGTCATCCGTACCAGCAATGAATGCGATGGGCATGATGGGCAACATATTGGCAGGATTGGCGGCGTGGGTCGAGTTGACTTGCGTGTGCTGCCCAGCCGGACATCCCATCCACCCCTCGTCCTTGTAGCTCATCACAACGTGAGCCAAGAGCCAAGGGGAGCCACAAAGCTTGACCTGACACCGTCGACAGAGAGACAAACCAGTCGATCAGCGAAGGATACGTCGCTCGTGTTTGGTTTACACGTGTGGGACGGGCAGAACCTCAGGCGCATTAGGCAAGAAGTCCCTCATGATCGACCAGACCAACTCGGCTGGGACACCGAGAAGCATCATGGGGGTCACACCCTTCCAAACTCAATTCCGCGTCTACGTCTGCGTTGCGTTGCTTGCAACGTAGCCGCGCACGCATGAGGGTTACTTCGGATACCTGTCAGGGAGGCAACGTGAAGGTCAGGGCTGGGCACTCAACCGTGAACAAGTCAGGGGCTGTCATGCACATTGATGCATGAAATGATGTCCCGGATGCCTGAGACCGGTCGCCCCGTCCAGATACCCAAGTCGCGCCGTGTCGGAGTCGGCGTCGGGCGAGCGCATGACAATCACCTCCGGGGGGCCGGCGAGGCCTGGAAGTCCAGAGTTTCGCCGACGGCACTAAGCTCCCTCAACTCCCATCTCTCTCCTTCGTCGTTTCTCTGAATCTGCCTCTGTCCTTCGCGCCAGAGGCATGAATGACTCGGACAGTGGAAGTCGGCCATACAGCTAGAAGAGGCAGGTTGTCACACGACACTCGTTGCAATCCGCCAAGCTAACGCCTGCGGCATGGCGCCCGCCGGCACGGCAAGGCAAGGAAATCTCCTTCCACTGCCGCTCAAGCTTTTCTTGGCGATGCTGTACCCTCACCTGCTGTCCACCCTCTCCGCTGGGCTGGTCGAAATGAGGAATGAGAGGCCAGGTGCCCCTGCCCCGGTCTTGCAGGGGAGCCGACGACGCCGTCCACTAGCTATATTTGGCCCCAGCCGAGGTTTGAGCTGAAAAAAAGATATCAGAAAACTCGCGCGCAGATCATCACGGCTTTTCGATGTACTCTTCGAGTCAGCACGGTGGAGAGGGAGAGATTGCCAACGTTGTGTTGCTGTCTGTTCAAGGTTGCAAAAGCTGATCGAGCGCGAACGATGAGGGCCACGTGCTCGCGATGGCCCCCAGCCTCACCCCCCTTTCAATCACCCGAGTGGATTCCCTGGTATCAAAAGATGTCCAAAATCAGCCGATCATGACTATTTCAAGCCATAGAAGAAGAATTGCACATCAGCGAGAATTTACGCGCTCAATAGTCCTTTTGGATTGATCCCCTTCACTAACACTGCCGTCCTGAGCCAGAGTTTCTCGAGACTGGGGCCAGCCCCTTTTTCAGGGTTCGGGTTCAGCGAGGAAGAGAGTGTGCATGAATAATACGAGTTGCTCACTAGGTTTTTCATGCCATGCCTCATTTTGTCACCCTCCGGCCGGTCCCGAATTCACTTTCTGGATCAGCTATTTATTTAGCTTTTCGTGAGACACTAAGCTTCCGTAGGGCTGGAGTGTTAATTTGGTTTTGCTATTCCCTTACTTTGTTGGGACACTCATTTCAATGCGTTGCGCCTCGGTAAATAGTCATCTGCCGTGTCCCCTATTTCAAGGTTGCACTTGCATCGTAGCAAACGCTTTGTTTTGGGACGAACAAGATATTCTGACTGCTGAGGTAGGTCTTCTTTTGGCCTTGTGACATAAACTGTTTTTTGTGTGCATGAATGGGTGAGTGCCTAGCTGCAAGTGGTACGGTCGCTCGGTCGAGTGACCAAGGGCTCTTTGGAGGGGCGCTTTGGAGGACGCTCCATGGCAACGTTTGAGAGATTCAATAACAACATATCGGATCAGCTCTCCTGAGCATTTTACATCTTGGGCTGCAGTGCCACCTGGCTTCTCTTTGTGGTGTGTGCGGCTGTTGGGACATGATTTGAATGGCGACAACGAGAGTCGTTCAGCTGCTGTGCCTTCGCTGGCTCTGGATGACCAGATGTCGCATGATAGGTTTGCGTCGGCCAGATGATATTGCCTGACTTCGATCATTACTAGATGGTGTATATAATTTTGATGGCTAAGCTAAGTGCCTAGGGTATACTCGGACCTCTCCGTTGAGATTAAACAGCGATGAGGCGCTTCTTCGGGGACCGATCTCTTTATGATCTTTTGAAACCGACCAATAGTGGCATTGGCAGGGCTCGTGATATATTGTTAAGCTTATTTTCACTAATACTTGGGCAGAAGCGCCGATCAGCGACGTTGCGACGAGCTTCGGGCGCCTCTTCGTGCTCAATATCTTCTGCAGGGCGTCAACAACGTTGATCTCAGTCACACGCGAACTTTGTTGGACAAGGCGGCAGAGATCAAGACGCGAGTCCATCGAGAGACCAGGAGAACTTTCACCTCGCTGGCGGCGTTACCAACACAAAAACGGGGCGGCAGCTTGCAAATGCGGTAGCCAAGAAATGTGGTGGACTGGACATACGCATTCTAATGCTGCAATCTTAATGGTTGCTGAGTTTCTCTTGTGCGTTGATATCAACGTGGCTTTGAATTCTGCCCTGTCCATATAGCTAACAGTGTTGTGGTAGATAAGCCTGGAAAGGAAGCAATTTGACTCAACAATGGACAATAACTTAGACAGGGCTTTCTACTGATGTCAGACCCCCGTCCGTCAAATGGTGAAGCATGGCCGCGGCGGGTCCTTCGTCTGCATCTCATGCATTAGAGCCCTCGTGGGCCGCAGGCTCCCGTTGCACTTCACCATCCAAGGCAGCGGTACTGTCCATTACGCAGCCGATGGTCATCGCGCTGCTTCCGCATTGCATTCGCGGCAATGCGATCCTGCCAGGCACCGTCCACACGCAGCTGGCTGAGCCGGATATGCAGATTGAGACGAAGCGGAAGCAGCTGGAGCAGTGGATGCCGCTCGGGATCAGCAAGCCGTGGGATATTGCTTGTTGATGGCGGTATGTATGTGGATCTCCAGTATGGTTGTCGATAGATCTAGGTTCTTGAATGTGTGCTGCGGTCTATTAGGAGTGTAATCTGGAGACATTGTTATTCCGAAAGCCATGAGAGATTCCTATTCGATTTGATCGCCAGTGTGGATTAGGCTAATTGTAAAAGTAACATCTGAGCACGGCATTACTATCGGGACACAGAATCACTGCCGAATCGTTCGGCTGGCTAGGCAATATGGATAAACAAGACAGCAAAGAGCAATGCTACTTTAAGAGGAAGTATATTAGTCCAACATAACGACCTTAAATTTCATTGGAAGTGAATCGGGTGGTGCACGGCAAATATTCTTTATAGACATGGTCTATGACATACCTTTGCAGGTTGATTAGGGGCTTCGTACCCTTTGGGTGATCTTCTTGAACAATCAATGAGATGTGATGTCTGGGCATAGGTAGTTTCGCCTCTTCTAGGAAGAGATTTAGCCGGGTGACTTCTGCTGGCCCCATCTGGGACTGGTCTCACACTGGCCTGTGGCGTTGGCTTATAACGACGAAGTGCCATCCAAAACCATCCGCTGCTCCTCTTCTAAGGGGATTGTTTTGCTTCCTGAGAAGTTCCGACCAAATGACTGCCAAAATGCTTTTTATCCCTTCCGTGTTGTTTGCGCTCGCTGCGACCGGCCTTGCTGCCGTTCCTGATGGCTACCGAAAGGTCCTGATCCCCTCAAAGGTGAACACCGCTTTTGTAGTGGTCCCAGTATCAGCCGCAAATGGCAGCTTGATTGTGGTGTAAGTGAGATTGATTCCAAGGTGAAGGTCTCCTCCGCTTGATTCGCTCATGATTATTCTGTGGCCTTTAGTCAATCCAAGACAGGTGCTGCTGGCCAACAGTGGTATCTCCAAAGCGGCAACAGCTCCATCATCTACGCCCCAGACACCACGCTCTGTCTTGACGCAGGCGCCCAAAGTAAGTCATCTCTTCATCCCCCGGCCTTGCCTCGGAGTTGCCCTACCATGTATTCTTACTGGCCACTTCTTTTTGCCTTAGGCAATTGGAAAGACATGTCCAGGATCTCCCTTGTGACCTGCGCCGCGGGCTCCGCCTCCCAGCAATGGGACGTCATGGCCGATGGAAGGATCGCTCTTGTTGCCTCCAAGCCCCAGGAGTGTGTGGATCTTCAGTATTCGCGAGCAGTCGCGAACAACCCGGTCGGAATCTACAGTTGTGCAGGCTTGGGAGGGATCGGTGCCGCGGATGATGGGCTTAATTGGCCACTTGCGAACGCAACCAGTTAGGAGCATTGTAAGAAATGGGATGGATTGTTATGTCTACTTTGGAAATTTGAATAAATCCATGATGCTATGTTTCGAGTAATTTGACTCTTTTGGGTCCATGTCGTACGAATGTAGCCCGATGATTTCCAGTACAATCAAAAGTTGAGTACCAACAATATACAGGTTCATAGTAGGAGCTACCGCTCAGATTGAAAAGGTGCATTCATTTACCGCGTTCATGAAGTATCAAACACATCTCCAATGCTCTTTGAGAGAAAAGAAAGGAGTCAGGGGTGCGGCTGAGAGCAATGCGCGGATAGACGAGTGTTGGGTTGGTAATGAAATCTTTATCTTCCAAACCCTTAAACTTGATATCAAGCGAGCGACCTCAACATTGCGGAGAGCCTCGCTACGAAGGCTTGGTATGAAGTCATAGCTGGAAGCAAGAGTGATCGGTCCTGAGTGCGAATGACTGCGAGACTAGATGACAGCATGGATGGGTGACTTGTGGCTGTTCAACTGTCAGATTTCTTGTGCGTGCCGCGCGCCGAGCCAAGCGCCGAGACGAAATCCTGCCGATTTCTGATGATGAGATGTTGGCACACTCCATCCTCAGTGAACGAAGCTCCGCCGCCGAGCCCGACTTTCGCTTGGCCGTGCTGCCGATCATCATCCGAGTACCACCAGAATCGCCTTGGCCGCATGTTAGACCAGGCCTTTGTGGATGGCATATTCCTTTGTGACTCCCAATTTCACCAGAAATTTCCACACTTAATGTGCAAAATTATGTTTCCTCTGCTCATCGCTCTCGCGTAAACGAGGACATTGAGAACTAAGCAGAGGCCTCAACGAACTGTCACATTGATTTATGGTCACTACAAAAGTAATACGGCATCAGCATTCCGTGGCTGCGCTCAGTTATTTCTAGGCGATATGGCCTTTTGTGCTGCGCATGGTGGATTGGTCTAGCTCTGCATGTGTAGTACCTACGATTTTATTAGCACCGTTCGATAGGTGCCTGATTCCAACAAAGCCGTCGTCCAAAGCGACCACACGTTTTCTCCTGGATCCTTTGGATATGGCATATTTTATATCTGTCTACTTGGATTTGAACAGCAACTAGCCCCGTACAAAAGCAAGATCTGTATAAGAAGCATAAATTAACCATTACAAGAGACTAAACACCTTGTCCATCGAAACGTTCTTAGCTTGGCGACAGACTGCACACTTCCCCTTTGAAGAGAGGTGGATCAGCGCTTTTGATATGCCCCTGCGCTTCTCCAGACTTCGTTTTCTTGGAAGACCCACACCCCCAAGTTTATCTGAGTCTCATGCCCGCGGAGAGGCCCAAGGTCGTTACGTCAAGGTCTTGGGATAGCGATGCTATACTCTGTTTTTGATCCTTCTGGGCCCATAACTAGCATCTTGGCTTGCTCTTGGAAAGCTGACGTCCCAGAGACACGACCTTATAAATAATAGTCGTCCGTTCCGAGCTCTGTCTAGTCCATCAGCTTGCCTTCATTCATTTTTTTCGCTCCCCAAGATCAACATTGCTTCCATATAATTGGTCCACGTGACCTGCACGTCTCAGTCAATACTACATGTTACACGTGCTTGGTGCAACATCATGCCTCCCGCCAAGATAGACACGGAGTCTCCCCCAGATGAGAGCGTCCATAAGGGCGTTCGCACTTCTGGAAGTGATGGCGGCCCTTCAGATAAGGCCGGCCAAGCCTCCATTGCCGCTCTGTTGCGCAACCCCCTTCTAGGATTGTCTCATGACGAGCTCATGGCAGACGTGGATGCCTTCACGGAGAAATATGGGCTCAACGAACACCGAGATTCTTTTCGTAAAGGTGCCTTAGTGGCTCAAGCCAGCAATCGCCCTAATGGCTTTGAAACTATTGCCGAACTGAACGAGGAAGAAAAGGCCGTGCTCCAGAAAGAAGTCACGCATCGCTGGGATCAACCCTTCATGCTCTATTTCCTCGGACTACTTTGTGCTGGATCAGCAATTGTGCAGATATGTCATACTTTCCCCGAATATACAAATCATTTCGCTGACAAGTACATTACGGTATGGATCAAACAGCGGTCAATGGTGCTCAGGTGCGCTCATCCTGTCCTAGCACATCTACCGCTGGTGGCTAACAAGTTGACGTAGGAATACTACTACAAGACTTTCAACATCACGGATCCATTAATACAAGGCTCGTGACTCCATCAGGGGGCCAGCGTAGTTCTTTTTCTAACAATGGAACAGGTCTCCTCAATGGTGCTCCTTATGCATTCTCAGCGCTCTTCGGCTGCTGGACCTCACCGTTCCTGAATAAATGGACAGGCCGCCGTGGCACTATCTTTATTTCATGCTTCTTCTCCGTCGTGACAGGATTTTGGATGGCGGCAGCAGATACGTAAGTCTACAAGTTCGCTCTCTAGATCTGGTCCAAGCTGATCGTTCATGACAGGTGGTACAATCTCTTGATCGCGCGCTTCGGGCTTGGTCTTGCCGTCGGCGCAAAGAGCAGCACAACGCCAGGTACGACACAAACCAAAGTAAAACAATTGAATCTTAGAAAATTAACAACTTGTCATAGTTTACTCAGCAGAGTCGGCACCAAAGGCTATCCGCGGGGCTTTAACAATGATGTGGCAAATGTGGACAGGTTCGTATTTATCTTTTGCTATCATAATAGTGCTCTTCCTCTTCTCCGGGCAGAGATACATTTGAGGGTTGTCTCCAGATGCATCATGAGAAACACTAACAAAATTCAGCTTTCGGCATCGCACTGGGACTGATTGTTTCAGTTGCCTTCCGGACCACGGATTTCCTCGGCCCAAACACCCAGTGGCGGTGGATGTTAGCAAGCACTTCAATCCCGCCCTTGATAGTTATGGTGCAGGTAAGACCGTCCCATAAAGGCCCGTTTCATCGTCCAATGTCTCGATTCTGAATTATCTAATTCATTTCACAGGTCTACTTCTGTCCCGAAAGCCCACGGTGGTACATGGAAAAGGGCAAATACACGCACGCCTTCCAGTCAGTCAGCCGACTACGCCGTCATAAAATCCAGGCTACGAGAGATATGTATTATGCACACAAGCTCCTCGAGGTCGAGACTCGAGCAAGAAGCGGTCACACCTGGAAAGAATTCTTCACCGTTCGAAGAAATAGGCGAGCCGCCACTTACTCGTATTTCGTTATGTTCATGCAACAGTTTTGCGGAATAAATGTCGTGTGAGTCGTTCTGATTAACAGCCGGCAGAAATTCTCGATGCCAGAGATGGCGGGATCTTTTACAGGACCAGGAAAACCAGGACGTGTGTACTAACAGGAGTTCAAGTATGTACTACTCAACGGCCATTTTCGAATCGTCCGGCTTCCAAAGGTCCGAGGCGTTGCTGACGAGCATGGGTATGGGCCTGATTAACTGGCTGTTTGCATTGCCCGCCTTCTATACGATCGACACCTTTGGCAGAAGGAATTTATTGCTGGTCACATTCCCTCTGATGTCGCTTGCTTTGATCTTCACCGCCTTTAGCTTCTACATACCTGAAGGAACCGGACGGCTGGCCTGCGTAGCGACTGGCATCTACATCTTCGCGGCCGTATACTCACCAGGGGCTGGGCCCGTGCCCTTCACATATTGCGCCGAGGCATTCCCACTCCACATTCGCGATATCGGCATGAGCAGCGCGACGGCCGTCACGTGGGGCTTCAACTTCATCATCAGCTTCTCGTGGCCAAAAATGGTGGACAGCTTCACGCCGACGGGGGCCTTCATGTGGTATGCGTGTTGGAACATCTTCGGATTTGTGGTTGCGTACTTCTTCCTCCCCGAGACGAAGAACTTGACGCTCGAGGAGCTGGACAGCGTCTTTGCCGTCCGAAACCGTGACCACATGCAGTATTATGCGAAGAAGGCGCCTTGGTACGTGAATAAATATTTGCTGCGTCGAGATGTCGCTCCGTTTCCTGCCCTTTATGAGGTTGATGATCATCACGATAGCCATCACGCAACCCAGGAGAAGGAAGTGGTGCAAGAAGCTGAGGGTGGTTTGGTGTCGGGTGGTTTGAGCGAGAAGCAATCTTGAATGGACAAGCTGGAAGGTAAGTGATGGTGATGGACGAGTTGCAGTACGAAATATCTCTGAATGGTACAGAGTAAAGACTTAGCCAAGGATGTTGGCCCGTGAAAAGTTGAAGACGATTCCGTCATGTTTGTTAGACACATTATTGTTAATGCGGTTTCAGTGTGTTTCTGAATACCGCCAACCTTGCAAAGTAATAACACTGGTATTTGGTAAACTTCTTCGTGATTTGAAATATGGAAGACGTTACGATACTTCGTCTCGATGTGCTCTGAACAAATTATATCTCTTAACCTCTGCGGTACACAAGTAAAAAAGTCTGGGGAGGGCTTCAATGCTACGTGAAAGGTGCCTTGTGAGTAAAATTCTGGTCGAAAGTTGATTCTTCTATCAATTGTTTGATGCTGCAAATGCACCGACTGCCTATGGCATAACAGCAAATGCCAAAAAGTTGAGACGACGTAATTCTTGAGAAGGGATGTACCCGGGAACGCTACAGAGCAGAAGCATTGCTCTACTTTTCTTTAAATGTTTCTCATTTCCTGGTAACGTCCTGTTGTTGACCATCCCGCTTCACTCCCCGCATCTCGCTCATTCTTGCCTCAGTCCATGACCCGAGCTCGCCAAAATATCCCTCAGGGTCATCCCCTCTCCACCGATTCAGAGTGGACCACAACCGCCGGGCATCGTTTCCGGCGTGGAGGGTCTTCTCGAGGTAAGGTGCACGTTCGTATATTGCCTGTGGTCGTAGTACACGCATGTCAGCTTATAAAGGCAGGTTTGGTAGGTATGCATATTGGGATAGTCAGAGGAAGTGGTAAGACACACATTTAAGAACTCAACAGCGTACTGTTGGTTCTGGAGACGTCTTTCCGGCTGACGCTCCAAATCCGACCTTATGTGCACCGACGGCTCGCCTTCCTCATTGACGATAAAGTCGCAACTGGCATTGGAAAATTCGATCTCGGTGAGAATAATCGGAATGATACACCCCGTCTCCCAGTCATACACCGAAGTTAAGCGGATCTCCCCTGCCTCGTCCACGTCGAACGACATGTTATGGATGCCAAAATCATCGTGTTGGAGAACTAATCGATACAGGACCTCCTCATCGCCCTCCGGGAGAATCAGGGGTATCAAGCGGAGCAGCGATTGTTTGGCAGCAAATGCCCGGGGGCCCACGGTCAGGTTGTCTTCCTCCCAACCGATTTTGTCACCTATGTCCCCGATCAAGCCTTCGACCTTTGCCTTGAGCATCGAAATACAGAAGTCTCGATTGGCATTGCTGGGAGGCAGGAATGTTTTGGGCCTCCACTCCACAGGCTGGAAGCTTGTCCAGAAAAGCCATGTGGTAACGAAGGTGGTTGTCAATGGCTTGTTCAACAATGCTGCACGACTTGCTGCTGCTTGAATAAGGAGCGAACCCTATTCCAAACCTCGAAGTCAGCGATATCGTATATTTGGTAATCAGTCACCTGTCGAAAAGCATGACTCGTCGCCCGTTGATATCCTCCGGAAGCTGGGTTGTCGACCGCTGAGACTGCTCGGAGTGGCGGAAGTAGATCAAGCGAGAAGTAGGGATGTCGGTAGTGCCCTCGAGGAGAAGGTACACGGCAGCCTCGAACTCGACCTGGTTGTGCAGCCAGGTCATAACGAAGCCGTCGTAATCTGGCATGTTCACATCAGCCCTCGCAACACGTGCCAGCACATCTCGGTGGTCGGAGAGTTTGATGTGAAATCCCTGTTGTCAATTCGATGATTAAAATCGATCAGCGGACTACACAAAAGATAACACTGGCCATGATAGTCAGGAAAGTACGCACGTAGTTGTTTGCGCCAGCGTGGACTTGGGGGATATCGACGACTCGGGCTTGGACTTGAGCCTCAACCTCTTGAAGCAGGAGCCTAACGTCCCAGACATCTTTAAAAGGGCTCTTTCCGTCGTGTAACAGTTGAAGCAGGCTTTTGCCATGCCATTTGGTACCATCTGGCATCAATGGCCACTTATTCCCCCGGTATCCATCTCCTGCAGATGGCCGTCGGACTGATATTCGGTGAGTTCCCCGGCATGACTGTTTTTGCAAATGTGCAAAAGGAATCGGGTAGGCTGAACTGTGTTACAATGTCAAGTTAGGCGCCGAAACTTCCAAGGTCCATGTACATATTCATCGTATCCTTACAAAATCGTAGAGCCTTGTAAGCGCGGGAGTTTCAAGTTGTTGCCTCGTAGGCTCGACTGATGGCGAAGGCTTGTCTGTGCAGCCGCAAGAGACGCTGGACAACCCACGTCACCACTGGAAGAGGGTGTTACGAAGGGAATACACCAGAGACTATGGTGCCAAATCTCGCTTCGGATCGTTGGATCTTGACCAAAATGTCGTCTAGCTGAGAAATAAGAGAGGAAGGAGAGGGCTTTTTCAACTGCCTCCGGCCTTGAGAGTTAAAGGCTTGTACCTTCAGGCGGCCCGTGACTCTCCTTTCCGTTGGCCGAGCTGCCAGTCACGCCAGTCCCATCCTATTGTGCGGTGACAGAGGCGGTCGTGATTCAAGTACTTGGCCAACGTTTCCTCCTTCAAGATGCCTGGTCTTGTACAAATTCGGCTGTACAACGGTCTCCAACAAGACAGTTGGAAACCCTAGCTCGGTCATATAAGCATCAATCCACGCCTTGAGGGTGTGGGTGCATCCATTTTCCTCTTGGCTGACTAAGACTGCCTACAAACAGCTTGGCGTGTGTCTTCTGGGTCCGACCTTCTTGTGGTCACTCATTCGAAGTCGAAGCCAAACCGCACTACGTGTTCACAGAAAATTTCTTTGGAGCCTGGCTGAGCGGCCAGGCGGATTTGAGGTTTCTCCACTAATGCATGATTACAAGCAGAATTTCGCGTGGATCTCCAGCATGGGTCTCATCCCCAGTTGACAATTGCCATGGCGAAGCCATCGTCAAGATGCCTAGCAAATCTTACCGCATGGTCCATGAGCATGCGGTTGCATGACCGCACTTGATAACATGATTGTGCTGATCATATGCAATCTGACTGCCCAAAAAGTCTGAGCAGAGGCCAAGTCGGACCAGAGCAGGCCGCAATGAAAACAATCCCATACCAACAGACAAATGCCGATGCCAATATGGAGGTTGGCGCAACAGGCGTCATGCCCATCAGCAATGAAAGGCACTTGTTCCGCGGAGGTTGCCTTCGCTTTCCGGAAATATAAAGCAGGCTGCAAGATGCATCGGCAATTTGTCACCAATATTCAGTACATGTCTCAAGAACGGTTGGGATTACTACCAAGGACAGTGTAACCAAAGATCTGCAAGTACTTGGGAGACTTGATCGCATCTCATGCTAGGCACGAGGGCCTACGACATGATCCCGGAGACAATTACTGTTGCGAAGGAAATGGTTAGTTCGGTAGAGTACCCGACATGCAAGGGTGGAGATTAGTCACAAGGCGGAATGAGGCCCTGTCGGCAACACTCTATGGCGATCAGGAGTGTAACGGAAGTTGGAGGAGCACGCATGTCAAAAAACATTCGCCAAACCTTATCAGAAACGTGTACCGAATAACGTAACCCCCCAGAGGTTCTATTTGGCCAACTAAGAACTTCATGCATTTATTGGGGAAGAAAGTTTATGTAGTGCGGCAAAGTATCACGAGGTCGCAACTGCGAATCTGTCAGGCTGTGGAACATGAGACGAACTAAACGGCCCATCCGCAGCCGCCAAGTATGATCGTCAAGTCAGAGCCCCTTCACTATCACGCCTCTCAGATCCGAGTGACGCTGGTCATGTGCTATATATCAGCGGTGTAAAGGATGCGCACTCAAGCTGTAGACACTGTTTTGTCCGCCTGATTAACATTCTCGTGGCAATAGACTCGTTCGTCTTGCGGACATCGTTCTAGATATCATCTAAGACGGCAATCATTCCGTGCAATTGATATTCCCACTCCACAAGTTGGGTCTTTCATTCTTTTCAAAGAACATGAAATACACGTTCGCTGTTGGTGCACTTGCCGGGCTCAGCACCGTCCTGGCAGCCGGAAACGTGCAGACCTTCACAGGCAACCTCGGCGGCGCTGCTCCCCCTGTGATCGAGAACGATGCCTCTGACCGGCCGTTTTCCGTCAATGGTGCCACTTTCTTGAACAAAGGCGCCGCTCTCCAGCGCAGCTGTGCTGTTCAGCACAATGCCTGCGCCAGTGCCGCGAACGGTGGGAAAGCCGATATAAGTGTCGCTGACTGCGACCAGCAGGGTATGCATACCTTATTTTCTTCCAGATGTCGCCTTTCAGTGCGGTTTCCCCTTCCCAGCTTCTTTCCCAAGAACATCTCGATTCACTGATCCTAACATACCTCCAGAGGACGCGTGCAACGCCGCCGCCGCTACCAAGGTCCGCGCCCGCGCCGCTGACTTCGGCAGCTGCGCAAACCCGGCGATCGAGTTTGCTCCCCAGAATGATCGCGGCGGAGCAGACGCCTTTGCCGCCGTTGATCAGAACGATTTCAATCACGGCTCCGCCAATAACATTAATGTCATCAGCGGGTTTATCTGCCAGCGCCTTGCGGACAGCTGCAAGGCCAGTCAGGATACCACCGCTGCGTGTGACGATGCTCAGGCGGCAGCTGATGGACTGTCTGGGCAGGCGGCTGCTGATGCGTTTAATAACGCCCTGGGGGTTTCTGCCTAGGCGAAGTCGTTAAAAATGTGACGATCGGAGGTTGAGTGACGAGGATTTCTCAGCGCGTGTGGAGTAGTTGATATCTCTTCTCACATTTCCGTAGTATCTAGTATGTACAGTACAGTGTCCATCACTCCAAGTTGACTTGATTGGGCACATGGGACGAGGTACTAAAATAGCTCAACGTTCAGTTTGAGTAAGCCAGGTATACACCATGTTACCTTTCAGTTTAGTCTGTCTGTGCATCATAGCCAAGTGCCTGCAACTGTGGATCTCGCCCCGGGAAGGATCAGTCTAATCAATAGCTCGCCCGACAATGTGACCAACAGCCTGAACTCTGTCAGACCTTGTGGGATTAACATCATAGCCCTCATTTCAAAGCTGACTTGTTCGATCTTTTGCCAACCCAGTGTCCGTCAAACCTCTTCTCGACACATAGCATGCTCCTCAAGCTGTAGCCTACCCTAAGCCAGGCGCATCTTTCACCCTGCACGTCTTCCATCTCAGGGCGTTCATATAAGCCTCGTGCTGTGCGCTCGCACCATGGCTTTACTCACCTCAGCAGTAGGGTCGATCCTGCTGCTGCTGCTTGCTTCCACGCTTTACTCGTTGGCTTGCTTGCTCCGAAACTACCTCGCGGCCCGCAAAATCGGCGTGCCGGTACGAATCATCCCAGTCGACCACATTAATCCACTGTGGTTGCTCGTGAGCCAGCGAGTCGTGTCTGCGCTCAGGCAGCTGCCCTCCTGGATGGGCGATAACAACATTACGAAGTATGACTACTTAGGATTTGAAATTCCTATACGATGGAGCAGTCACGCGGAGATGGGCGATGCATTTGTGTTGTGCACTCCGTCGAGGAACTGGTTGTATATTGGCAATCCGGAGGTCATCACGGCGATGCTGAAACGACCGAATGACTTTCCCCACGACTCACAGCTCACCGCTATGCTCGATGTCTTCGGGCCTAACATATCTACGGTGAGAGGAGAGCCCGGTCTCCGGATCTATTTGGGAGCAGAGATGAACAACCAAGCTGGATTCGGAGTGCTAACCATCGTATTTGTAGGCCCAAGGAGCGGATTGGAAGAAAATGCGCAAGCTAATGGGCTCTTGTTTTATCGACCAAAACTTCGAGATTGTCTGGCGTGAGAGCATTGCCCAGGCAAGCGATATGGGCCGATATTGGAGCTCTCGGCCATCGGTTGAGACCGTTGCCCATGATACACGCACGCTTTCACTTAACGTCATGTCAAGAGCTGGTTTCGGCAAATCATACCCTTTCAAGGGCCACCACGAGACACATGACACATTGAAAGGCAGCTCTATGAGCTATAAAGAGGCGCTTCAGACCATACTCGAAAATAGCATCTTGATCATGGCATTGGGCACTAAGCTCCTCGCGAAGTCTTGGCTTCCGAGCTTTTTCAAAAACCTTCACTACGCCTGCACTTCGTTCCAGGGATATATGACAGAGTTGTTCGAGGAGGGAAAGAAGACTTCAACTGCAGAGAGGATTTTCGACCGCACCCTTATGAACTCCCTGGTTCGTGCTTCACAGCAGGAGACGACTGGTAGTCTGAGCGAGCGTGAGATCTATGGAAACAGTAGGCCCGGCCCCCCAAAAAGAGATCTAACTTAGCCTTTCTTTGAGGCAGTAAGCTTCGAACTCGAGCTAACATTCGAATTCTTTCAGTGTTTGTGTTCAACTTTGCAGGCCACGATACCACAGCTCATACCTTCGAGTGGGTCATGCTCTTCCTAGCCGCAAACCCAGAGGTCCAGGATTGGATCCACGAAGAGGCACAACATGTCCTGGGCGACCGTCCAAAAGAGGAGTGGGATTACAAGACCGACTTCCCCCGCCTGAAGCGCTGCTTATCCGTCGTGTTCGAGTCGCTACGGCTCTACTCCCCCGTTGGCTTGGCAAAGTGGACCGGCGAGCACTCAGCAACGCTCCAAGTGGGAGAAAAACTGCTTACGATCCCACCAAAGACGATGGTTGTTCCGAGCAACGCCTCTGTACACACCGATCCGAGATACTGGGGCTCAGACTCCCTCACCTGGCGGCCGTCGCGCTGGATCGAAGCAGGACCGTCCGGTTCCAAGGACATCGACGGCGAGGAGCTGATCTCTCCCATCCGCGGTGCTTTTATTAGTTGGTCTGAAGGCGCGCGTGACTGCCCTGGCAAGAAGTTCTCGCAGGTAGAGGCTGTTGCGACGATAGCGGCGTTGTGTAAGGACTGGCGGGTGGACCCTGTCACCAACCCAGGTGAGACGCTTGATGCTGCCAGGAAAAGGGTGTCGCGTTTCATAGAAGAGGACACAGGCATGGTGCTGCTGGTTCAATTACTCCATCCTGAGCGCTCTCCTCTAGTTTGGAGGAAGAGGTAGCTTGTGGTGGCCTCAAGAGCTCGAGGAGGCAAATGGGTATGTTTGGTTTCGGCGTATAATGACTTTTTCCATTTGAGCTCCAAGAGGAGATCTTGTTTCGGTTTACATGATGTTGCGGCCCCTAGTGTTATATCTATGTACGAATATTGAAAAACAAATACGCGAGCTTGATGGAGAGGACTTGGCAACATATCCTTTTGTCGCACCTGAGCAACCAACCATTTCAAAACCGCCCTTAGTGTTTTGATCAGTCGTTGAACAATTTCGAACTCATTGTAGTTGTTACAACTCACCATACTGGATGGGCTTGGTCCCGTATGGGTCACTGTTGGTTGCTCCGGGTGGGTCACGAAACTGTAGCCAATCATGCCGAAACACCTTCATCAGGCAGCAAAAGCCAACCTCAAATCTGAGCCTTTAATTAGCCACTCCAGTCGTTCCCAGCCCAGACAGTATCACAACCGTTCATCCTCTCTTACCTGAGAAATCCTCGATGGGCTAAGAAGCAATTGTCAACAACTACAAACACTTCTAATATCGGCGGATAATCCATCAACGCAACCATGAACACCACGGAACCAGCGCTGGTAACAGCAGCAAGAATCTCTGCCGTACTCGATGAAAACACCAAAATAGATCCTTCAAGAGAGCAAAATGTGGAAGCCATGAAGAATTTTATCAAAGACGGCAAGAACCTCCCCAACCGGCCCCAGCGCGAAGTCCTCTATGCCGTAGATGGCGTGGCCGGCCTCACGAGCAAACCCGAGTTCTTCAAAATACTCAAGAATGCGTACACCAAGGTCCCGAAGGCCGAGGTGTGTTATTTTATCGTGAGTGTCCGATCGAACACAGTTGCTTGTTCCCTCATCTGTCCTTGCTAATAAGCCCCGATGCAAAATGAAAACAGGGCTTGCAATGCCAGCCGTCAGTGATGTATCAAAAGCCATCGAGGCCGTCTTATACTCCCCCTCCGACTCCTGAAGAGCCCCAAGTCAGTGAAGGAAGCCTTTCTGTGATACAGCTTTTGGGGGGCCCACAGTCTTATGCCTACCTTCTATTTTGTCTGCAGTAAGCTTTGACCTCATCGCCAGACAGATAAAACTTTGAGGGAAAGATTGGCTGACGTGGTGCGTGAAGGTCTATGTCTACACTACCAAGTCACCGGCCTGGTGGTGAGAATCTTGAAGTTGACATAGGTGGCGAGTAGAAATGAGGACATGTATAGATGTAGGGCATGCATTCAAGGTGTACCTAGCACAATTCCGACTTGAACCACATGCATGCTCCGTGACTTTGCGACGCTGGGCAGCTACGCAACCATAGGCAGTGCACCTTAAAAAGTAACACACATTCGTGCTGACTTCAAATCTTCATCTACTCGCAGTGGTATACAGATTCAGCAGCACAAACACAAACACTCAGCACCAAGAAAGAATTCTTTCCAATCTTATTTATATTCCACATCCCCGCAGGAGCGCCAGTCGAGACTCATCCCACCCGTCCGTCCATCTGTCTGTCTACCTGGTCGATCGATCGATTTCCATCTTTTTTTTTGTTCTTTTTGAATCAGCTTTTGTTTTCCCCCCAATGGCGTGCATACAATTCAACGTTCCTACTCCCCTACCCCCAGCTCACTTAGCCAGGCCCATCTTCTCTCGTACTCCAACCGACCCACTGCCCATGTACGTACGCACGTGTATGCATGCATGTATGTAGAAACCGACTCCAGCCCAAGCCAGCTAAAAGGATAAAAATATATGAGATTCGCACCCCCAGGACCAACCAAACGAAACGATCTTTGTGACCTCATACAGCTGTGACAAACAGACAGACCTGAGACGGCCCCGGCACAATTTGTGCCGGGGGAGGGGCGAAAGCAATTGTCCTTGCGTGATTAAGATACACAGAGAAACAAAGGGAAGTAAAAACAAGAAAGAGAAGAAGAGCAGAGAAGAGCTGACTGCTTGGCTACCGCATTTTTGCGAGCTGGCGGCCCTTTTTGTCCCTTACACCCGCGAATGCCTTTGATGCTGACAATGACGATGACGGCGCCGACGACGACGACGACGACGACGACGGAACGGTCTGAAGTATGCGGATTTTGTGTCTTGTTTGTGCCCTTGCGGTTGTTGTTCACGTTCCCCTCGAGAAGAACGCCGGTGCTGAATAAATAAAAAAGACACAAGAAGAAAGAGTACCCTCAATCAGCTTGATCTCAGCTGGCCACCCACCCATCCGTCCCCGTAATCAGCCCGCACCTTTTCAAATTTCACCTACTGCCGACCGTGTTCACCTAGATCATTTCTTGTTCCTCAAGTGGATATGCTCGATTGGAAGTACATTGAAAGGTGTCGGCAGTCTCATTTTCAACACGCGTAGATCAAACTTTGTTAGGCCCGTTGAACGCCGCGCTGAGCCTGTGGTTTGCAATCGAAATCAAATGACGCAAGGAAAAAGTGTTGTAATTGTTGTTGCTGGTGACTACTGGTTGTGCAGTCGTGCCAGCCGCTTGATCTTGACCATTATTATGGTCGGTTAGTCAGCTGTCGTTAGCTGATGTTGTCCCTCCGTCGTTATCGACAGACTGCTCATTGAGATCGATAGGGGGTTCTTTTGAGGTTGATTTTGGCTGATCTTCAGTCCCGAGCGTGGGAGAAGACAGCTTTCGCTCAATTGTAGATGGAGGCGGCCTCGGTGTCTCCTCGATCTCGTCTCCGTCCTTTGTAGCCAACTCGGCCGCTTCCCCAGACGGAGGTGTGTGAATAATCACGGTCTTCTCATCTTCCTCATTCTCCTCCTTGATCACTGGAGCCGGGCTCAGAACTAGTCCACCAGCATGTAGATCCGGTGGCTGGAGACTAGGACCAGATCGTGGGGATTGACATTCAACCTCATTCGCAGACGCAGAAAGACCTTGCATCCTCAGCTCGGTTGCGGACGAGCCATCCGGCAAGTTGGTACTCTCATGGCTGTTGGCGCGCATCATCTCGATGCCGAGCTTCGATGAAGGGAGCACCGACTTGCTACGGTAGTGCTGCTTCGAAGTTGAAACCGATGCTGGGGCAGAAGTTGGCCCAGGACTGCCTGCCTTGCCGGTGCCTCCGAGGCCTAGCTCTTCGTCCTCATCGTCTGCGGAATCGAAGCCGGTGTTGCCCTCGAGGCGTCTCTTCTCCATTATTTCTCGTTTCGCCCGCAGTCTCTCGAAAGAGCGACGTGGCTGCGGACCGGCTACCGGCACAACTGTTGGACCGTGCTCGATCTGTCCCGGAGCACTTGTCTGGAGCCGCAGCGGAGGCATGCCCTTCGCAAGATCACTCGAGCTCAGCATATGCTCCTCCGATGAGACATCAATTCCCAGGCCGTGCTCGCTCCAATCACCCGTGGCCTTCCGACTAATCACGACAGGGATGTCATCAGTCGATATTGACTCTGAGTCGCCAAACAGGCTAGAGGAAATCGAGTCCTCGCGGCTAGAACCACGGAAGCTGCTACCGGGCCGGTTTGCAAAGCCAGAAGACGTACCACTGGTAGGGCTATCCTCCAGTCTCAAGCTCTCCTGCCTCAAGCTTGACGGTATCGGGCGGGCCAGCGACATCGGCGTCATGTGAGGTTGACTGGGCGACGCAGGTTTCCACTGACAAAAGTGAGTGAGGACCTCAGTCAGTTTCGACGAGCTGATGGGCTTCTCAATCAGCGAGTCAAAGTAGTGCGGAGCCTGAAGTTCCTTCAAATACGCGGTAATGGCCACTAGTGGCGTGTGCGAATTGGCATTCTTGGTCTCGCGAATCATCTTGGCGACGTCGGCACCGTTGATTTGCGGTAGCTTGAACTCCATGAATATCACGTCGAATTTGATGTCGCTCATGGCGTACCGAACAGCCTCAGAGCCAGTGGAGGCCGAGATTGTGCGGCAGCGCAGCTTCTCCAGCAACTTTTCCATGACCATCCGAGATACAGGGTGGTCTTCGCATATTAGAACGTCGAGCGGCCGGAATGTTGGGCAGTCATACGTGATTTGTGACAACCGCCGGGAGCTGTGGCGCCGCCTCTGGACCCTAAGAAGCGCGGCATTGGCTTTTTCGCCTTCGTTATCAGACGACGAAGGTGACATGTCGAAGACTTGGCTGCGACGGTTTCGATGGTGTGCTAAGAGGTCGGCAGCCACAGGGCTTCCTTCCTGCGAGCCGACGGTAAGTGACCTCGACCTAGCGCTCGATTGGCCACTTCCCTGGCGAGGTGTCGTAACCGTCCTCTGTGGAGATAAAGCGAGTGGCGGCGGTGCACCGCGGCCCTTAACAGGAGACGCTGACACTGATGAGGCGGCCTTCTGAAGGCTCGGCGGAACACGTGGCACATCGAAGAAGTTGCCTGGCTGAAGTGAGCTACCAGAGCTTGACTGTTGAGACAAATTGGAAGCATTACTGGAAGCCTTACGTCTTCCTTCTTGCCCTGCCACAAACGAAACCAGAAGAGGAGACGATGGCTGTGAGACTCGGCTTGGCGACGAGTGCGCGTTGCTCAAGCCTGATGGAGACTGTGGGCGCTGAGTGGCTTTCGCGTTGGACAACGTCCTGTGTACTGGGTTTGACAACACAGGACTGCCCTCGAGGCCAGCGCCACCTGGTGAAGTGACTTGGTTTATGCCAACAGGGCTGGTGGCCGCTGATGATTTGTTCTGTGCCGCCAAGGCATCTGCGCGCAATTTCTGGATGACATCTTTGTTTGCTTTGTCTAGCACAGGTAAGTTCTTGTAAGCAAAGTTGCCAAAGTCATCATTGACCATAGGTTCGCTCAGTCTTCTGCTCTTGAGATCTCGGACGTGGGGCGGTATGTGCAGAGGCATCAGTCCGCGCTTCATCGAGTTGACTTGTGACCGTACGCGGTTCAAAGCGTCGTGCGGGCGTTCTGGATAATCAGTGACAGGGCCGCCTGGTTGCGGCGACAACTGATCCTCCATCTCTTCTGCAAATGATTGCAATGTGGCACCACGAGCATCGAAGTATTCGGTATCCTCGAGATTTTCGGGCTGTGGCACGAATTGAGCCTCATCCAACAACAAAGTCTCCCAGCTGAGTCCCTGAAACCAAGTGTGATTCCGAATCTCCTCTCCACCAGATGCGAAGTTCTCGTTCTTGTTCGAGCCTAGCCGTTCCTGTGGGTCTATGCACAGTAATTTGTTGATCAGATCCTTGGCTTCAGGCGACACTTCATCCTCGCTCTCGTCCGGCCAGTGAATCCTTCGAGCCAGGATATTCTCGAATACTTGATCGGGCTCGCTTGCATTGAAAGGCGGTATGCCATAGAGAAATTCGAACAAGATGCAACCAACCGACCACCAATCACTTGTCTCATCTTGAGGTTCGCCTCGGATCGTCTCTGGGGCGAGGTAGTCGGGCGTGCCAACAAACCGCCGGCTTGTATCTTCCGGATCAAACAAGGCCCAGTTCGGCGGAGGCATGCTAGGCAAAGGTGGTGTGGCCTTTCCTTGGTCCATGCTGCCTTGTGTGCTCGTCGTGCTTGCTTGGCGCAGAGACCCGGCCTCTATGGAGGGACTGCCTCCTTCACTTCCCTCGTTCGGCGACATGATAGCCTGGGACGCTGAGCTTTGAGTACTATCGTTCAGACTGAAGTTGCCAAGCATGTGAGTCAGAGACTCGCTGCCTCCACTATCGCTTCGATGGCTACTAGATATTCGGCGGGGCTCTTGCGCCGTGCCAAGGCTGAAATAGGACGGTTGCCCGAGGCTTAGGCCGAAATCGCTAGGAGTCATCTGCGGTGTTGAGCCCGGTGATGAAGGGTGGCGTGGGGCATGGACATCGAGTGATGTTGATCGAGAAATTGAGGACCCCACGGACGTAGACCTTGCGAATGGGCCTGTTTTTAGTAAGTCAGGAGCGGGCTCAGTCGAGCCACTGTTAAGGGCTCGCTTCTGTCGGCCGACTAAACCCATCCGTGAAAGACCGAAGTCGGTTAGTTTCAGATGACCTTTTTGATCGATGAGAAGGTTATCCGGCTTCAAGTCTCTGTGCACGATACCACGACTGTGAAGATGCTCGACACCAAGGACGACTTCGCCAAGGTACTTTTTTACCCAATCCTCCGGAAGCCCGCCAAGCACCTTGATCAGAGAGGCGCAATCGCCGCCATTGAGGTACTCCATCACCAGATACAAGTAGTCTTTGCTTGAGAACGTCCAGTAAAGCTTAGCGACGAAGTCGCTTTCGCCTTGCCACATCATGATGGCCCGCTCAGCCTTGACGTTGGTAACCTGATTCTTTGCCACCATATCCGCTTTCTTTAGCACTTTGATCGCGAAGTATTCTCCAGTAGACTTTTTCTTGGAGAGGTACACGCTGCCGAAAGCACCCTTGCTGATGGGTTTGATGACCTCGAAGTCTTTGATCGAGGGCGGGACAGCACGGGCCATGGGCGGGGCACCCACTCCGTTGAGCCGTGGCGAGGGTGGCAATCTGACATTTTCCCCTGTTGATGATGATATCGCGGCAGAGGACTGTCTTCTGTGATGATGATGATGGTGTTGGTGGTGTTGGTGTTGAGGAACAGCAATGGGTGAGCTGAACTCGCTGTTGGGCAATTTTGGTGACGGCTCTGGAGAAACCATGCCGTCTTGCTGAAACCCAAGACCTCGAGGTTTCGAGATTCTGAGGGGCGATGAGGGTTGGTGGGCGCTGCGAGATGGTGATTCTTGCCTTCGTGGAGAGATGGCACCAGGAAGGATCCAGCTTCGTCGGTGATGGGACCGAGAACTGGCTTGTCTCCTCAGATCCCCAAACTCTGAGATCGGAGACTCTGTTCGTGGAGGGGGTCGAGAGGCCACCGAAGACGATCGCACACTGCCTTCGCTATCCCCTGTATCACTCTCGAGAAGCATTGACTCTCGGCGTGACTCTCTTGCACCCTGACCAAGCGCACCTAGCATGCCATGATGGGATCGGGGCGTGGGACATTCTTTCGGACTGCTTGAGCGTGTCGACTCGATAGCTGTGGAGAACCGTCGCTTCTCGACGTCATCGCTTAGGTTTGCGTTTTCCAGAGCCAAGGCAAGAGATGCGCCCGCGTCGAAAGATCCGGGGAAAATGCCCTCTTCCTGGGCAGGTGTGACATCCTCTTCTCCAGTTTCCGACCCAGACTCGGTAGAATCGCTCATCCGCCCGGCAGCGATCCGAGCAGCTCGTCGCATGGCACCATCAATGCAGTCTTGGACCTTTATCGAGAACTCAATGCGTATGCGCTCTGCATATTCGATGATTTTCCTATGGCGGAAGACGGCGTCAATCTTGGCCTTTGCGATTCGTTCTGTATCGGCACACAAGAATGCCAAACCCTGCTCCTGCTCGAGAGTGTTGGTACTGGGAGAATGCCATTGCATGACCTGGCCTATTCTTGACTCGGATTGCGGCGATTGAGTGCGGAACTCCCCCGGGTTCTGCGTTGAGGACTCTTTGATGGCCGGGGTGCTGATCTCAATTGCCGTGTCACACAAATCGAGTAGCAACTCGACGATCCGGGCCTGTGGTCGCCGAACAGCGAAGGATCTTGCACGCGAATGACCAAATCCCGAGGATCTCTCTCGTGATCGGGCACCGCTAGTTGATGGGGAGGATGTCCCGGGCGACGAGGCGCTGGATTGTGGAGGCCCAATGGGCATTCCTTTGTATTCAGCTGCTGGTAAGGCCGTTTGCTCTCCGATGAGCGAGCGACTCTTTCGGGCCTCCAGGGCATCAAGAACCTTGACAATGGCATGGCGGTGCTCTGACAAGCTTTCCTGAGCCATCTGCACCTCCATTTCGGCCTGGTGCTCCTGTAGGCAAAGGTCTGTGTGCTTTTCAAACCACCAAGGCGGTATTTGGCGCTCGCAAATCCGACAGAGAACGGGCGGTGGAGGATCATAGCTAGTAGGATCCTCCAAGCCTACTTCTGCAAGTCGGGTCAGATAGCCAGCGAGGACTTCGGCTCCGGAACCAAGTGAGTCGACGAGCTCGGAGTCGAGATCTATCTTGATCTCTCGGGGCGCAACCCATGGCCTGATCATCCACATAACCTAGGAAACGAGTCAGCTTGTTCTTGGAGATTGTAGTTATCGGGGCGACCTACGTGGCTTTCTCCACCAGTATCATGGACCATGATGCCTTGCGCCTCGAGGTCGACGACTTGTGGGGCACCCTCCTCTTGCTCGGTTTCGTCCTGTTGTTCGCTGTCCTGGGGAGCATCTTCGGAAGCGAGTAACTTCGACTCAGGCCCAGTCTTGACAGAGAAGCGGATGAATTTGCTACCGGAATCATCCTCCTGCATGGACTCAACCACGTCGGTGAATATGGACGTAGGCTCGCTCACGACGACATCGGAAATGAGGGTGCCCTGAGCTTGAGCCGCATCCGTACCGATCACATCGACCCAAGAAGGGCTCACCCAGCGGATGGAGCCATCAAGGTTCAAGTCGACAATGACGTTCAGGGTCTGTTCTGCAGCCTCCTTGAGATCTTCCCTGTCCTTCTCCCGTTGGTGGTGGCTGAGAGACCTTTCCATGACGCCGGCCGTCTGGGCGCGCAGCGACGTCACCGCCGGCGGAGCCATTTGTGCCGGATCTGTATCCATTGGGGGCTGGGCTCAGACGACAGAACCAACTTGGACCAGCTCATCTGTGGGCTCGTGTTGGGGGCAATGAAGGGTAGGTTCGAAGCAAGTCGTAAGTTGAATCGTTCAGGGGGTCGTCTGGGAGTCTCTGATGTCGCAGCCGTGGGTGCAAACGCGTCGATGGTGAAAGAGCGCATGAATGACTGACGTGTGTAGGGGTCGGTTGAGAGTGGCAGGCCGGAGACGTTGGAAACGGGGTGCGGCGGACGGAGAATTGGCGATAAATAGGTGGTCGTCGGCGACGGTAGCAGTAGCGACGGCGTGCGGCCAACAAGCAGGGCTGGCTCGACAGCCCGGCCAGGACGAAGGTGTCTGGCACGAACAGCCCAGAGCTACATCAAGCAGCATGCAGCGACCCGAGACATATCTGGTGTGGACGTCTCTGTGCCTCTGCAAAGCTGGGGGGAGAGAGCAGGTCGAGGGAGGCTGTGTCGAGCGTGGAGCGTGGTCGGAGGGCGTACGAGTGCCCGTCACGCCGACATGGGCAACGAAAACAAAAATGGGCCGTCAGCTGCTATACAGTGGTGGTGGTACTGGCCTCGTTCACTCTGTCGTTGGTGGTTGGTCGCGGGTCGCGGGTGGGCAAGGGAAGAGGCCCGTTTCGATTTTGGAGTCCTTGGCCGACCAACTGACAGACTGACTGGGTGACTGGGCACACTTGACTTGCTGGGCCTGCTTGGTCTGGCTCGACGTGGACTTGGTCGGGGCTCGTCGTGTACTATGAGGAACAGGCGAGGTTAGTGGGGACCTGACTGGCGAGTGCTGGCTGGGAAGGCTGGTTGGCTGGCTTTGGTTGGTGGGTGTCAGGATCAAAGTTGGAGTGGCAGGAAGTGGGCACGGGACTGCACAGCAATGCAGTGTCTCGTCAACATCGTGGCGCGCTGCTAGTGCGGGTGGTGGTGCCGCCTGCCTTTGCACTAACAGAGGAGAACAACAAAACAGGGACAAAGAAAAAGAGGACCTACATGCTGGACTATGCTATGCATGCACAGCTGGTGCATAGGGATGGGGCACAGATTACCCAATGCTGCTTTTGGTGCAGGCAGATGATTAATGTAATGTCAGGTCCGGTCAGGTCATTCAAGTTCAGGTTCAGGTCAACGGTGCGAACGGCTGGTGCGGCTCGGTTGGGCGCGTCCAACATCAAACACCGAGTCCAGCCCACTTGCAGATGCAGATGCAGTCGCAGTCGCAATCGCAGTTGAAGTTGCAGTTCCAGTCCAAGTTCAAGTTTCCAGTCGTGGAGCCCCAAGTGAGCGGCAAGTGAGGCAGGACTGATGCACGTCGACAATGCAGAGGGGTGGAAACAGAGGGGGTAAGTGGGAGAGAGAGAGAGAGAGCGTGTGTGTGTGTTTGTATGATAGAGTTAACGATTGAAAAACTGCTGAAAAGAAGAGCGAGGTTGTGAAGGGGGGGAGAGGGAAAAGGGAAGCACTGTGTAAAGTAGATAGAGAGAGAAGAGAGTGTGTGTATGGAAGAGGTGGTGCTGGTGTTGGTCGGCCCAAGCAGAAGAAGACGGACAAATTGTTCCTGTCATGCCAGGTCTAAATGCTCTGGTGACTGCCAGGCAAGGTTCTGTTCACGTCCAACCCAGTGTATACGGTATCACAACCAGGTCGGTTCACTCAGTTGACCACTTCTTCAGTCCATCAGTTCACAATCGATGCTTCAGGTGCATCCATGGCGTGAAGTTTGGTGTGGTTTCGAGACGGTAGAGTTTAAAAGTGGGGTACTACTAAACGGCAATGGCAACAGCAGCAGGAGCATCAGCACAACTTCAACCACCAGCGGGAGCGGCAGCGGCAGCCCGGCCAAGGTTCCTACCCTTCCTCCTACTACTCCTCCTCCTTCCAAGTGGACGGACAGATGGATGGATGGGCTCTGAGTGCCCTTGGGAGGGTGTGACCTTGACCACCACCTGGGCGCACCTGGACATTCCTGGACCATCCCTGCACGCGTCCAGCAGGTGGTCGGCTTGCTTTTCATTACAGTAGACTAGCAGCAAATATGTACAGTACGCGCTGTACGGTATGGTACGGTACGGTGCGGTCATTGGAGAAAGAGAAAGAAAAAGAGAAGTGACTGACGAACCCTCCTGCCCTCAGACAGAAAGACTGAGTGACTGAGTGACTGCCTGCCTGCCTGCCTGCCTGCCTGCCTTGCTTGGTAGTACTCGCTTTTTTGCTCATGCTCATGCTCATGCAGTGGACGGACACTATGACATGCTGCAAAGCACCTGGCAGACCATGAAATTACTTCATTAGGTCTGGATATGTTTCCCACAATATCCTCGAGTCTCTTGTTTTGACATCTGATTTCGCCTGGGCGGGCTTAATCGAAATTGGAAATTCCTCTGAAAGTCCGTGCCTTCCATGAATGACTGACTGACAAGGCGTCGTTCCCTGACGTTTTCTCTACTTTCTGGGAAAGTCTGGTAAAGTCTGGTAAGGAACGTTTCCGCCGTGTAACCCGACCGAATCAGGACAGTCCATCTCCCCCAAAGCAAGGGGCGGATCCCGCCGCCCGGTATTGCTAGTGGGGTACGCTGCACCACACCCATTTCTGGGAGCAAACACGTGTATCGAGTAATACCGTGGTACAACCCCCCCATCCGTGGTCATGGGATTCTGGTCTTGGTTTCTGCCTCTGCACATCTCAGGCACACGCTCACATTGAGTGTCACTCTCTGCAATCACACAATCCTCTCTCTTGCGCCTCTCTCTCTCTCGCTCTTCCTCGCACTCTCTCGGAGCCTCTCTGATGCCATGATCTGCACGTCTACGCGACTTAGATATTTCACTGCACACGATGACTCTTTTCGTCACTGTCACATCCACTTGCACCTCTTCAAATAACAACGGTTGCCAACACATCCAACCCCAAGAGACCATGACCATCCTGGCAATGAGGTGACTCTTGACCTCGCCTTCGCCTCCGCCCTCGCCCTCGCCCGAAGCCCATCCTGGAACTTCCAGTGTCATCGATGTTGAAAACATCCATACTGCGTACAGCCACGGCTACAGTACCACGGCTGATCGGCAGGCAAGACATATCTGACACGACTAAGTTTCTCTGTCTCGAGCGAGTGGCATTCCATACTCACCCGCGGCACCTCATCTCCCCATATCTGTGGTGCCTGGGAGCCCACACGCTGGGCAGTCCTTTGTTCCAGATGTGGATTGGCCTAATGCTACCGCCCGCCCTCAGCAGCAAGAAACCAATGAACTGTACTGGCTCACGGCCTTTTGTCACTTGATAATGGTGAACGCCATGCCAATGCATCATCCTCTAGCCCCTGCCTCCGCCTGGCTCTCCCAGTCCTATAACCAACAGCCCTCCGGTCTTATCTGTCTGCGTTTGGTCAAACACTCAAAGACATTGACTAGTCTCACAGATCAAGCCACCGTTGGCTGATCCAGAGACAAAAAGACACCACGCTTGCATGACCCCGTCGCACAAGATACTTGGAACCGCTTGAGATATGCAGCCCCAGAGAACCCACTTCGGCACGAATGCCATTCGCGTCTCGCGTGGATTCCACCTGCCACATGTCGACCATACTTTTTCTCTCATCCCTGACCTCCGTGATCGACTTATGGGGGCATCTTGACTACGTACCATGTTTGGGGCATAGCGCTGAATCCGCAAAGCAGCACAGCACAGTGCCCTGTTCCCCGAGAAGTCGTTCTGCCGCCCAGCCTAGATGCAATTGAAGCTCTGTTCTCCCAAGCGGGCACCATGACCACCCTCGATGTCATGTTGGCTGTCACTCCAGAAATTCCTCTTGATGATGCTTGACACCACAATCTCTGGGTCCAACGGCAGCTAAAACGGGTGTTTACCAGATCATCCATGCTAGTTCGCTACCACCAGCAGCGTGTATGGCCAGCTCCTCACCCGGCTACAGCATGCATGATGCCAGTGAGGCGGCTACTGCATCTTTGTCTGCAGGTCGTGCCGTAGCCCCGCGACCTAGCCTATTCACACCGTCATCCTCCACCCTCGGGACAGGCTCTCATTCGCGTCTACTCTTCAGCACCTGGTCATCCTGTTTGGGGCCTCTTCCGAGCCTGCATGGCGGATGAAAATCGATATGGGGGCACACGCCCAGCACACCAAGAAACGAGCACTTCTTTGGGCAGTAGGGCATCCAAGCCACTACTCGTGCTTGCCTCTGACTTGCGCCCATCAAAGCCAGTTTGACTATCAGCAGGGTATGCTAGTCAGTGCTCACTCGCACAGCCCCGTGCCGCACACTGGCGTCGTGCCTGCGGGCGAAGATATGTCCCAGATCCCCGAGCTGAGCTTGGCCAGATCTCGTTACTACTCTTTGGGACACCACCAACTCGTGCCATATGTTTGAAGGCTGCCAGCACTAAGATCACTTCATCTGACTTGTTACTTTCGTCGTCACCTGCTTTGCGCCTTGTCTCCATCGGTTGATTGCTGTGGCAGCAGGCGCTCAGCGTGGAGAAGGAGAATCGATACTTTTGCCTACTGCGAACGGCCGCTTATCCTTCTTCGTCCTCGCGGCTCGGTCTTACAAATAGAGTTGCAAAGATCCTTCCCCGGGTGCTACGCAGTAAGGGTTCCATCACCCAGGGCAAAGTGCAAATGACCTCGAGAGAGATTCAACTGTCACTGATCCCGGGCCAATACCGTGGCGCCGAGCCAATACAGTGTAAACCATCCACACGAAAGTTGCAATGCCAAAATCGAAAGTTTGTCTTACCTCAAAGATGGGTCTAGACCTATTTGGACAGCATTGAAACATCAAGATACTTGGGACGACGCAGACTTTCGAGAGTGGCTATGGCAAACGCTTGTCCGCAACCTTCCAGTCTTCTGTCGCGACCACTGCAGGCATGCTGCGAGAGCATGTTTCTCCTGGGCCACACGCCTGGGAACCATGCCAACAACTGTCAGCCTGCATGTCTGCC